GAGAATGGTTGGGAGATTGCCTGCTCACATCCGGCGTGGCCATGGTCGCTCCTTCCCCCAAAAGCAGTGAAACCAGGCCCGGGGGAGAAAACAAAAATATTATTTATTATTATTTAAAAAAAAGAAGATTGGAAACAAACAACGTAGGGATCCTCCCAAAAAACAAAAACAATCCAACAAAAACACACACAACAAAAAAAATGTCGGGCCCAAAGAGTTGGAGCCTCCGAAATCGGCGGGAAAAAGGGCATTCAGCCCGTGCTTCAAAGGGGTCCCACCCCTCTGTTTGCTTAGCAACCCGCCTTCCGAAAAGCGAACAGTCCACCGAACAAGCACGCAAGAATCAAAGAATCAAAGAATCAAAGAAACAAACAAACAAACAAACAAACAAACAAACAAACAAGAAAACACACAAAAGAAATGAAACCATAGAAAGAATAATAAGGCACCCATCGGTGCACCATGGAAGCCTCGCTTTTTGCGAGCCCACGTCGCCTGCATCAACCGGGCCATGGCCAGCGTCTTGTTGTTCTCCTCCGCCACCACGCCGCTGTACTTGTAGTACATGCCCACCGCCTACGGACGGCAAATAATTCGACCTTTGGGCCCGGGACCCAAAGGGGCCAAAGGGGAAGTGGACCCGCCCCCCCAAAAAAAAGGACCCAAAAATGCCCCCAAAAACGAACCCCCCCGCAAAAAAAAAAAAAAAAAATGGACACCGAGAAAAGCCTTCTTCGTAGGATTGGGGAATCGGACCCGATTGGGGAATCGGGTCCGAGACAGCCATAGCATGTGTTTGCGGAGGCATCATCTTAGATGGCTTCCACCCAAACCACTAGAACTTCCAGGGGTTCTGTGGGATATACATAAAGGGTATATATCCAATTTTCCTCTGGGGGTACTGCAAACCATCTTAGACCTGAGAAAAGCTGTTCGCCCCCATTGGGATCGGGGCCAACCAATTGGGGAGCTCTTGACAACCATAGCACCCAGTTGAGAAGGCATCACTAAGAACGAAGGGCAAAACGCGGGCTGTACACGTCTTTCGTTAGGCTAACATGCAACCGAGGGCTCGACGAGAAGCCCAAAAATCATGAGGTGTGATTCAAACAAACCATACCGTGTGTGTTTGTGGAATCCCATACACAATCATATACATATGTATCTTACATGAATAAATACATGAATAAATAAATAAATATATTAAAAAAAAAAAAGTAAATAAATTACATAATTAAAATACATAAATAAATAAATAAATACATAAATAAATAAATTAAAAAAATAAATAAATAAATAAATAAATACATATAAAGAATGTGTGACTATATATATATATATGTATATGTTGATGCAGGTGGGCTTGTTCCATAAACATATGATTTAATACCTTTGAGCTTGTCACCCTATATTCAACGACCAGAAACTTTTGGGCCAGATTTCTGTACCCGAGCTACGATGACGCCGCTCAGCACCGCCACGAGCGCTGGGCTTTGGCTTAGACAGACCTGGGGTTCGACCCGGCAGGTAACCCTCGGTTGGAGGTTCGGCTTGGTGGTTTGGCTTGGTGGTTCGGCTTGGTGGTTTGCTCAGTTGTTCAGTGACCCTGGAAAAAAGGGAACCTCTTTTTGGGCTTGGACCATTTTAGGGAAGCCACCAAAAAAAAGGGAAAAGGGAGCCACTGAACAACTGAGTTTGGGGCGCTTTGGATTTGACAGGGTCTTTGGTGTTGGGCGAATGGACCCCTTCACACATCACAGATTCGTTTCCAAGCCAGCAACTGGGCAAGCTGACCTCCAGGGAAATTCCAAAGGAACGGTCGCGTGATGTTGACCCCAGATCAAAAAATACAATCTGCTTGATTCACAGGGGGCCTTTTTGTGGGAGTCATCACTTTTGACCCTCGGCCCCCTTTCTGAATCCAAGTTCCCAGTACCCACCGCGTACCAGCGGTTTGGTTTACGGTGGAATTTCCCGCTGGTTTTCTTAGAGACTTGTAACAGGTGAGTCGTACTCAAACCTGGTAAAGTCTTCTGCGCAAAACGCAGGGTAAAGACTCAGGGTTGGTGGTGTCCCCCTACTAACCCGCACTTAGCCAGGTTTGGATTGTGGCTCAGGTGCAAGTGGGTTACAATCAAACAAGGGCTTAAATCGTGCGGATGGGGGTTGGGGTGTGAAAACAAAGTAGGTCCACAATGGTTTGTGTGTGTGTGTGTGCGCAATTGCTTAGCTCCTTGCGTGATGCCATTGTTCCCCCTGCAAAGAATGCAAGAAACCACAAGTGGGGGTCCCCCGAAGGACTGTCCTCTAAACATGAGGCGTGCGAAAAGTACCCCTTGCTGTGATAAAGGAGCCGTCCCCATGACATGATCACTTTCACAACGTCTGGCTGTGGCAGAGGGTTCTGTATTCTGCTGAAACTCGAGGGGAACGAACCCACATCCTTGTGGACCAGAACTTCAAGGGCCGAAATCAGTACCAAGCCATGCTCATGAGTCATTGTTTTGACTTTAAAGGACCACGCACACCAAAACCCGTTTAGGGGGTTCTATTAAACGGGTTCCCATCGCTTGCACCAAAAGACAACGCGTGTAGCAATCGAAAGGAACCCACTTGTTTCCCATGGAACTGGTCTGTGATACAATAGAACAGGGGCACCCCCAAAATAGTGGTTTTCCCTTTTGTCCTTTAACCATTTCAACCCACAGAGGGCATCGAATGGCTCATCCCATGTTGGGAGAATCCAAACGAAGCTCAACCCTTGGCTTCCACCAGACCCGGAAGGTGCGCAGGTCCCCCTTTTCCTTTTCCCCCACTTGAGGGAAGACCAAAAAAGCGGGTACACGGCGGGAGTAACTCTGGCTCTCAGGTAGCCAAATGCCTCGTCGTCTAAATAGTGACGCGCACGAATGGATTCTCGTTCATCACTACCCAGAGGCTCCTGGAGCTTTCAATGGAAGACCCGACCCCTCCGTTAGACACCCCGGAGGTGGTTGGGGGTCTCAAAACCAGGTTGTTTGAAGGCCCTAAATCAATCGGGAGCCTCTGAGTAACGAGATTCCCACTGTCCCCGCCTATCTAGCGAAAACCGCGGCCAAGGGAACAGGTCTTGAAAAAAACCCGCCGAAAATCACGCCCCGAGAGGCCAGCAGCACCGCGCCCGCGCACCCGAAGCCCCCGGCCGCCCAGCTGCCCTTCGCCTAACTCGTGGCCACTTCCCGTTGAACTTCGCCAAGGGAAAACGCTCCCGGGGAAGCCGCAAGGAAAACCCGCGACTTTGGGTTGATCCGAATTTGGGGCAAGACAGCAGCACGACTTTTTTCGGGGGTGCCCCTGCTTTTTGAGAGAGAACCGTTGGAAAAAGCCAAGAACCATCCTGCCTCAGGAGCAAGGGAAAACGTTGCTGGTGAATCAATAGATCGCAAACTGGAATCTGGACCGGGGAACTTTGGGTGTTCGACGGGGTACGTAAGTTGGTACAGGTGAGACAACCCAGTTATACCTCCCCCTAAGTGAAGCTGGCCTTGCTATTTGTTGCCTCTAAGTAACCCGGCTGGGCTTTTCCACTTACTAAGTTGGCCACGAATGCAGTCAGTCCTCAAGGATCTTCAGCCATCATGCCAAACGGAAACCAACAGATTTCACCTTCCATTGGCTGAAGGTAAGGAATAATTCAAGAAACAATCGCTCATGACCATTTGCGTATGCGTCCAAATGGGAGTACCCATTCTGAAAAACATATGTGGCTTGCCTTTTTGGCTTCTCTTCAAACCAACCCCGGAAACTCAAACATAAAACACACACACACACCCATGTCAAACAATAATGCGCCGTTCTCGTATGGGAATATCCAACTTTGCTCAGCAGCCACGCCGAAGATCCCCGCAGCCACCAGCACCACCGCCAGCCCCAGCGCGGCGCCGCACGAAGGGTCCATGGCGATCCGTAAAACGAGTCGCAAGAGGCGGCAAAGACTTCGTGTTTCGGTGTTTTTCCTACAAGCCAAGTGGTTTAAAGGAGAAAGGTGGCTTGTTGCTTCTCCCAAATGCTAAGGGAAAGGGAGTCAGGTTGACGGTTGACTTCTTGCTTTGGAAGTTCGATCTCAGATGGTTGCCTTTCAAGGTGTAAGGATTAAGCCAAGCTAAGCTGCCTGTGCGACAGATACTACATCCTGCAGGAGCTCTTTGAATGGAACGTGGAAACCCATGTTCAAGTAGCACCCATGGAAAAAGACCAATGTGGTTTCTTCCGGTTTTGCAAAGGTCCAAGATGTAGATACAGCAAGTTCGAGCCGAAGCTTAAGCAAGACAAGGAGAGCGCGGCGAGCAAACCTGAAAGACGTTCTTGTTGGCACAAGCAGTCCAACCTCCCCAGCATGCCCAACATCATGCGCATTCCCACCATCATCTACACACCCATCATCCCCAGCATCCCCAGCATCCCCAGCATCTCCAGCATCTCCAGCATCTCCAGCATTCCCTTGCATCTCCAGCATACCCTTGCATCTGCCACATCCAGCATCACATCCCGGCATTATTATGTCAGGCATCCTCACAACCAGCATCCCCAAGCAGGCGCTCTTGACTACTGCCATTCTGGATTTGGCTGACTTGCCTTTTCGAGGGCGCCCGTTTTTGGATGGTGCGAAAGGGACGACACCAACAGGCAAAAGAACAAGCACTTGGAGGGTTTGGGCACCGGTTCCTAACTTTGAGATGTGAGCAACGGACAAAATATACAACCTTTGGTCTTCTGAGGGGGCAATCACTCGGCAAGTCCCAGGAAAAGGGAGCAATCAAAACCCGGGAGTAAAATGGTCGTAATCCCAGAACCATGCTTCAAGAATTAAGAAGGCGGAACTCTGCAGCTCTTTCTGGCTGGGACTGCCCCTTACTAACCTTCATCTACCCGAATCGGTTTTGATTGTGGCTCACGTACGGAATCGCTCATTGACCGTCCCACCTGAGTTCGTGTGGCCCGAACCGCAAAAACCCTCGCGCCTGGTCACCCGCAGCACCGGGGCGTACCTTCGGGATCTTTCGACGGCCGATGCCCCGGCCTTCCGACAGCCTCTTCTGGCCATCATAGCTAACCGAACACCCACCACACCCACCAGCCCAACCCACCAAGCCACCGCCCAACCCAAAACAAACAAAATGGAACCCTGGTAAGTGGAAACATGGACCAAAACCTGCGTAACCCCTCCTGTTTATTTTTGAGCCACACCCACCCAACCCAAAACAAACAAACAGAATCACCGAGCCAAACCACCAGAAGAACCGACCCCAGTCCACACCCATCCCACCATCCCACCAACTCCTCCGACTCGACCGCAAGGAGCGCACCAGGAGAAGTGCGCCCCCACCTCCATCGAGGACACCTCAGCGCGGATCGGTGGGAGAGCTGTCCTTCGTCTCGCCATCCACGCCAAAAGGAAACGAAGACATGTCAATACTTGTTTGTACATGCGTATATATATACATATATATATATATGTTTTCATATTCCGATTGTTTGATATATCCAGCCTACGTTGGAATGCCTAACTCGAGGTTGCCTCTGAGGACTCAGTTTGGAATGCCTACATAAACCCGCTTTGTGCACAGAACACAATACAATCCCCACGAAGATGGGGCGGAGCTTCCCCGAATTCAAACCCTCGTGTTTTCGACTGGGCGTCCGAGCAGTGTCTGGCAGGTTCGCCGCGAGCAGAGTGCTGCTGGCGTCGAAACCTGACGAACAGTTGGGCGTTGGTCAAAACAGGAATCGGAACCATTGGTCAAAACAGGAAAAAGGTTTGTGTCAAAAAAAAAAAGGAGGCCATTTGTGTTTGTGTCAAAATGCCAAAATGGGTTCGTGTCAAAATGTGCCAATGGATGACCTCCGTCGGTTTTTCCTTACCCTGAAAAAAAACACACACGCCTATTGCAGGGTCCCGGGAAGCCAATTGGAAACCCACCTGACGTGATTTCACAATCTTTCCAAAACCGCACTCGCTCACCTGTCTTCGAGACATCCTTCGAAGAATCCCAAAACCTGGCAGCAAAGGACATTTTGTCGTGTCTTAGCACCTGAACTCAGGTATGCGTTTGCTTTAACAATTTAGACCCCCGGAGTGGCTTCGGCTTTCCCTTTGGTTTTCCAACAACAAAAACGGGGTATCTCAAAAACACGCACCAAGGTAGCAACCTGGTAGATCAATAGGCGTTCTCTCCAACAGTGAGGGATCTAACATCAGACACCCCCTATTTATCATCGGGTATGAGTCTCAAATGGTTCATCTTGATTTCTCACTGCACCCCATGAATCAAGAACCAACAGGGCACTTTTCAAAGGGGGCTTGCCGCTCTTTTTGGAAGAAACCCCCAACCCGGATTTGCTGGACCCTTTCGTGGACATCACTTAAACGGTTGGGTTGCAACCACCAACCGTGTTTGCACAAACACATCGCCGTCCCTCCCCCCTTCCCCCCTCAAACGAGAAACGAGGTCTTTTGCTTGTGTCTTAAGTGAGCCGCCCTGTCCGTCCAAACTGGATCTCACCCCTTCGCTTACCCTCTAAGAATGGCTTGTTTTAAAAAAAGGAAGCCCAACAAACCCACCACAATGACCCCCAGGGCTTAGGATTGAGAAGCCTTAGCAAAGGGCACAACTTAGACCTCGAATCAACGTTGTGTGCATTCGCGTTGCATTCCGCACTTCTGGTCATTCCCGAGAAAATCACTCCAAACCTCCAAACTATCAAGTGTCTCAAAAGAATCTGGCATCAAGTAGCCGTGAGTGTGTGTGTCAGAAGTCACTGACCCTTTCTGGATAAATCAAAAGGTCAGCCAAGGAAGCCAGAAAGCACAGAGGGAAAGCACAAGTCCAGGGGGCATCCCCAGCAGACCCCCCCCGGCCCCAAGAAAAAGAAAGAAAGAAAGAAAGAAAGAAAGAAAGAAAGAAAGAAAGAAAGAAGGATTGAATCACTCAGATGCCAAAGCTGTCGCTGTTGAAAACAAGACCAACTACCCAAAAAGCGGCGCCAAGGTGACTCCTGTGGTTGTCAAGTTGGTCCATTCAAGGGCAATTTGATGGAAACACTGATTCTTCCCATCCAAACTTCCTTCTCTTGGCCTACATCTGAGCAAACCAAAAATACAACTTGCCCCAGGTCTTCATAGATTCGTCTGCCCTATCAACTGTTTCATCGGATCCCCCAGTCATGTTTTCCTCCTTGACCCCACGGAGTTGAGGACACAGGTCACTTCCGGAAGGCCCATGTTGAACTCTGCCACTCGGTTCGGTGCCAGCCTTCCGGCAGTTCCTGGAGTGGGTCCTCCTCCACCTCAAGAAAACGGGGCTGAAAACGGGGGAAAGACGAAAACGACCCGGGAGCTGTTGGGTTTCCTGGAATCTGGGTGACCAATTTTGGTCAGACATAGATGGGATTCCCTGGCAAATGGGGCAAACAAAACCCACCTATACCAGATCCCATCGATGTCTAACCAAACCAGCCTAAGGCCACCTAGGCTTTCGTGGCTATGGAAAAGCCATTGGTTGCCAACAGGCCTCTCAGCGATGCGGGCACGCCAAAGATCGGCCTTCAGAAAACGGGTTCTCGAAATAAGCTCGGTCCCCGATGAGGGAAGCCTTCAGAAGAAATCAAACGGACATGCTGAGGTCCAATCCATGCTCCCCTAGGACACGGGGTAGATGAATACCCGACAATCTCAGCAAGACCTGATTTCCAAGACCCAAAATTGATATCCATCGATCTGCCCAAGCGATACGATATGGACCATCCAAAATCGACCTGGTGTATAATAGTGCCCATTGCTCCATGAAAAGCCAACCTGACACCTGACCGACATGGATTTCAACACAAACATTCCCGCCACGGGAGGTTCGCCACGGGAGGTTGCTCTGATTCCAATAACTTTTTCCAATGGTTGTCACGGCAGCTGAGAGAAAGTCGCGGCCGCCAAGTCCAAATGTGCTGATATGCAAATGAGAAGCTGAAGAAATCATGAACACTGAGAATGCTCAACAATTTTGAGGTTTGGATAATGCTGGGGATACTGAAGATGTTTAATGTTTGCTGGTGCTGCGTATGCCTGGTGATGCCGGGGCAAGTCTGGGAATGCCGCGCTTTTTTGATGCCGCGCTTTTTTGATGCCCGCAAAATGCCCGCATGGCTGGGTAAGTCATGAACACTGGCGACGTTGGATGTGACGGGAATGCGTTTGTCGGGGATGTTGGTAGGGTGGGGCATGCTGGAGTTGCCAGGGTAGGTGGACACTGGAAATGCTGGACATGCCAAAAGCTGCAAAGAATGTGAGGTGCTTGGCGTTTGTTGAGGATGCAGGTGATGCGTGCTGGGGGCTAGATGTATTGAGGTTATATGCAGGGTCTGCTTGGGATGCCAAGGTAGGTCAGGAATACCAGAAAAGTTGGACAAGCAGGGAATCTATAAGAATTTGAGGTTGTTGAATATGTCGGGGGTGCTGGCGACCGCGCATGCTTGATGCTTGGGATGCTGGAGAGCTCATGGATACCGGATGCAGCACATGCTGGGGATGCGAAAGATATTGATGTTGTTAGCATTTGCTGGGGATGCTGAGGATGTAGGACATGCTGGAGATGATGGGCCAGCATAAATGTGAAGGAATGCTTCAGGGTTGGGGATGCCGGACATGCCAACAATGCTCTAGAATTTGAGGTGGTTGGGATTTTTGAGATACAGGTGATGTGGGGGCATGCTTGGGATGCGCTATATTTTGTGAGGTTATTGGCATGCGGCGATGCAATAGCAGAATCAAGGATTCTGAATATGTCGGGGGTGCTGGCGATCGCGCAGCATGCTTGATGCTAGCTCATGGATACAGGGCATGCAGCACAATGCTGGGGATGCGAAAGATATTGATGTTGTTAGCATTTGCTGGGGATGCTGAGGATGTAGGGCATGCTGGAGATGCTGGAAAAGGTGGTCTTCCCAACAAGTTCTTACATCAAGGAATTCGGGGAGTGACACCTCTTCTGGGGCAAGCAGATCTGGCTGTGGGTCAAAAATATGTACCCAAAATGGAACCCTGCAAACCAGTCCGGCAAACAACGGAAAGCGCCGTTGCGATGGCTTTCCCTTGTTTTCCCTTGCTTTCCCTTGCCTTCCTTCGCTTGACCTTGCTGTTTCCCTTGCGTTGCCTTGCTTTCCCTTGCTTTCCCTTTCCGTTGCTTTCCCATTTCCTTGCTTTCCCTTGCTGTCCCTTGCTTTCCTTTGCTTTGCCTTGCTTTGCCCGTGCTTTAGCTTGCTTTGCCTTGCTGTCCCTTGTTTTCCCTTGCTTTCCCTTGCCTTCCTTCGCTTGACCTTGCTTTTTCCCTTGCGTTGCCTTGCTTTCCCTTGCTTTCCCTTTCCGTTGCTTTCCCATTTCCTTGCTTTCCCTTGCTGTCCCTTGCTTTCCTTTGCTTTGCCTTGCTTTGCCCGTGCTTTAGCTTGCTTTGCCTTGCTGTCCCTTGCTTTCCCTTGTTTTCGCTTGCTTTCCCTTGCTGTCCCTTGCTTTGCCCGTGCTTTTGCTTGCTTTGCCTTGCTGCCCCTTGCTTTACCTTGTTTTCCCTTGCTTCCCTTGCCTTGCTGTCCCTTGCTTTCCCTTGTTTTCCCTTGTTTTCCCTTGTGTTCCCTTGCTGTCCCTTGCTTTCCTTTGCTTTGCCTTTCTGTGCCCGTGCTTTTGCTTGCTTTGCCTTGCTGTCTTGCTGTCTCTTGCTTTCCCTTGCTTTGCCTTGCTTTGCCCGTGCTTTTGCTTGCTTTGCCTTGCTGTCCCTTCCTTTCCCTTGTGTTCCTTTGCTTTGCGTTGCTTTGCCCATGCTTTTGCTTTCTTTGCCCTGCTATCCCTTGCTTTCACTTGTTTTCCCTTTCACTTGCTTTCCCTTGCTTTCCCTTGCCTTCCTTTGCTTTGCCTTGCTTTGCCCGTGCTTTTGCTTGCTTTGCCTTGCTCTCCCTTGTTTTCCCTTGCTTTCCCTTGCCTTCCCTGGCTGTCCCTTGCTTTCGTTTGCTTGTCCCTGCTTTCCCTTTCCCTTTCATTCCCTTGCTTTGCCCGTGCTTTTGCTTGCTTTGCCTTGCTCTCCCTTGTTTTCCCTTGCTTTCCCTTGCCTTCCCTGGCTGTCCCTTGCTTTCGTTTGCTTGTCCCTGCTTTCCCTTTCCCTTTCTTTCCCTTGCTTTGCCCGTGCTTTTGCTTGCTTTGCCTTGCTGTCCCTTGTTTTCCCTTGCTTTCCCTTGCCTTCCTTCGCTTGACCTTGCTTTTTCCCTTGCGTTGCCTTGCTTTCCCTTGCTTTCCCTTTCCGTTGCTTTCCCATTTCCTTGCTTTCCCTTGCTGTCCCTTGCTTTCCTTTGCTTACGTTGCTTTGCCCATGCTTTTGCTTTCTTTGCCCTGCTATCCCTTGCTTTCACTTGTTGTCCCTTTCACTTGCTTTCCCTTGCTTTCCCTTGCCTTCCTTTGCTTTGCCTTGCTTTGCCCGTGCTTTAGCTTGCTTTACCTTGCTGTCCCTTGCTTTCCCTTGTTTTCGCTTGCTTTCCCTTGCTGTCCCTTGCTTTGCCCGTGCTTTTGCTTGCTTTGCCTTGCTGCCCCTTGCTTTACCTTGTTTTCCCTTGCTTCCCTTGCCTTGCTGTCCCTTGCTTTCCCTTGTTTTCCCTTGTGTTCCCTTGCTGTCCCTTGCTTTCCTTTGCTTTGCCTTTCTGTGCCCGTGCTTTTGCTTGCTTTGCCTTGCTGTCTTGCTGTCTCTTGCTTTCCCTTGCTTTGCCTTGCTTTGCCCGTGCTTTTGCTTGCTTTGCCTTGCTGTCCCTTCCTTTCCCTTGTGTTCCTTTGCTTTGCGTTGCTTTGCCCATGCTTTTGCTTTCTTTGCCCTGCTATCCCTTGCTTTCACTTGTTTTCCCTTTCACTTGCTTTCCCTTGCTTTCCCTTGCCTTCCTTTGCTTTGCCTTGCTTTGCCCGTGCTTTTGCTTGCTTTGCCTTGCTCTCCCTTGTTTTCCCTTGCTTTCCCTTGCCTTCCCTGGCTGTCCCTTGCTTTCGTTTGCTTGTCCCTGCTTTCCCTTTCCCTTTCTTTCCCTTGCTTTGCCCGTGCTTTTGCTTGCTTTGCCTTGCTCCCCCTTGTTTTCCATTGCTTTTGCTTGCCTTCCCATGCTTCCCTTTGATTGTCCTTGCTTTCCCATTCCCTTGCTTTCCCTTGCTGTCCCTTTCTTTCCCTTGGTTTCCCTTGCTGTCCCTTGCTGTCCCTTGCGGTCCTTTGCTTTCCTTTGCTTGTCCTTGCTTTCCTTTGCGTTGCCTTGCTTTTCATTCCTTTCCCTTTCCCTTGCTTTCCGCTGATTTCCCTTGCAGTCCCTTGCTTGCTGTCCCTTGCTTTCCTTTGCTTTGCCTTGCTTTGCCTGTGCTTTCGCTTGCTGTCCCTTGCTTTCCCTTGTGTTTCCCTTGCTTTCCCTTGCTTTCCCTTGCTTTTTTGTTGCTGTCCCTTGCTGTCCCTTGCTGTCCCTTGCTTTCCTTTGCTTTGACTTGTTTTGCCCGTGCTGTTGCTTGCTTTCCCTTGCTGTCCATTGCTGTCCCTTGCTTTGCCTTGCTTTCCCTTGCCTGGCTTGCTTTCCCCTACTTTCGCTTCCTTTGCCCTTGCTTGGTTTGCCTTGCTTTGCCTTGCTGTCCCTTGCCAGCTTGACCCAAGTCAGAGCAAACCAACAACTGCACAACCCTCCTGCACTGAATCACATACAAGCAACAACCCAAACCAGCGCCCGTACTTACACACCCCGTGTCGTCTCCCTGGCTCCAAAAAATACTCCCAAAAAATGGGAGTATTTTTCCTGCGACATCCCCAGCATCGCCGACCACCACAAAAACTTCCAAAACAAGCGACATCCCCTGCATCCCCGGCATCCCCTGCATCCCCGGCACCCCTTGTGCGCCCAAGTCCGGCGAGGCCGGAAGCAAAGTAAAATGATGTAAAACTGGCACGCTTTTTGGCCCGCGAGAGCCACAGACGAAAAGGTCAGACATGATAGGCAGCGTCGACGAAAAAGCGCGAAAAACACAGGGAAAAACACCAAAAACCAGCCTTGCGGTGGCAGAAAGTGCTCCAAAAAATACTCCCATTTTTTGGGAGTATTTTTCGGCTGACCAGACCTGCAAATCTCCCGGAACGAGGTTACCCCCCCCCCCCACAACTTCGTACACTAACTCCCAGCGCTTCAAGAAGCGCTTTCCGTCATCGAAACATGGACTGAAATCTGTGTTTTTTTAATGGGGATGTTCTTTTGACCCACGCCCATCTGTTTTATGGGCAAACACATGGGCAATAAGGCGCTCGCCACCTGCAGGGGCAACGGCTGTTGCGCCAAGCGGCCGCCTGCTGCAGCACCGCCTCGGCCTCCTCCGGCGTGAAGCCTGGCTTCGAACATTTCGAGCGAAGACCTCGGCTCGGTTGGGAAAGCCGTGGGGTGGGGTTTGGGGGGGTTTGGGGAGGTTTGAGTTTGGGGGGGTTTGGGTGTCCACCAACTTGGGTGGGCCTCCTGCTGGGAAATCTGAGCTCCCGTCTCATCCTCGCCAAGCTAACAACAGTCGTCCAGTCTGTGTCACTTTGCTCATATGGGAGTTTCTCAAAATGGTGGATTCCCTTCAGCGGGCAAGGGGAAACCACCAGAAACAAGCCATTGTGTGACCGGCTTGCCGAGTTTGAGATTCACCCACGTCCGCTTTCTCCGCGCGATCCAGCTTGAAAGATGGCAGCGCTGGCTCGCTCGCGCTGCGCCCCGGCAGGGAACGGGGGCCGAGGCCGGGCCGACTGCCAGTGCGTGGTACCGTTTGAAGGCCGCATGGGTTAGTACGAGTAGGGGGGGCGTGCAAACACGCCCATTCCCGGGTTGCAAAAAATCCCTTTTCTCTGGTTTAGGGGGTGTACATGATCAATTCTCGCACATAACGCAAGGGCCGGCGGTGCGGCATGGAAAGTCTGTACATCGTGCGAAGCCGAGTTATCGGCGATGTTCGTACCGCCATGTTGCTTGCTGATGGTCTGGGCAACCGAGATTGCAAGTAAACCAACCACCATTATAGGGCTTCACTTGTTTCCTACTTGCAATACTTCAAGATTTCATCCGAAATCGTCCATAACTCTCATCTGCGTAAATGACGACTTCCCTCGAACCGCAAGAACCACATGTCGAACCACGTCTCGTTTCACAGATTCAGGATTCAGAGCCAACTCGCAAGGGAAGCCATTGCAGCCTGGCAAGCATGGAAGGGCACCGATTATATAGTCTTCCAAGGGTGCCCGTGGTGGGGGCTTTAGATTTGCCTGTATGCGCAAAATGTATATCGTCCCACCCATTGACATAAATAAGGCTCTTTTCAAGAGGAAAACTGTCCAGGACCAGATTCATGTTTGTGGGAAAAAATATTCTTATATACTGAAGGCAAAAAATCAGGGCTGTTTGTCTACGTCGGGAACCTTCGAGCGCTCGAACGAAGAGGACCCGTTGAGTCGAGCTGTACCTGGCAAGAGAGCCTACCTGGTGTTTGTTCCGTGGTTTCAATCATGTTTCCCCTGAAAGGCACGCAAAAAGGGCTGGTGATTACAGAAGTCGATCCCACCCATGAAAAGCTGACATGGCCAACGGCTCACTTGGCTCACTTAGCTTCGACTTGAGTTCCATCGCTTCTCGTGGCACGAAGCATGCGCCGAAGGGCCGAATTCCAGGCGCTTCTGGCCCGCGAACCTTCCGGGCCCATGTGCGAGGCCGCCTACTTGGCTTGGATTGGTGCGGTTTGGATTGATTTGGGCGGTACTTTGAGTCCAGCAGGTGACGAACGCAGGCTCGGCAGCATTCACAAGCTGACCCTAAACTTGGTTGCCGTTGAGTGCAATAAAAAAGACAACTTTGTGTGGGTCAAATGGAAAGCCCTTGATTTTCCGGGAAGTTAGATTCTAAAGAGCCAACCCATAGCAATCAAGTAAATGGGTAACAAGCATGACTTTCAGTTGGTGCAAGCTGGAACCTGCCTGGTAGCCCCCTTCGGCTGCCATTTGACGTGCCTCAATTCGTCCATCTGTCGGAGCCATAAGACAGGTGTGCTAAGAAAACGCAGTCGAAGTGTTCGACCCCAGACTACGCAACTTTGATGAATATGGGGCTGTTTTGCCATGGAGCTCCTCTTGAATATATCTCCCCCCCTGAATCAACCAGAATCCTGGTTCCTGCTAAAGCAGGAGTTGCACGGCGTGGTATGTTTCCTTGCAATGTCTTGCTCAACTCCTCGTGCAACGGATTGGTCAAAGAAGCTGGCTGAGGCAGGGTCAAAACTACGTGTTTTCCGAAGGACAGTCTCGCTTCTACCAGGCCGAAAGCCACTGCCGCGTGCCGAAGCTGCTAACCATATGAGCCACATCACGCCATGACTCCTCATTTTCAGGGACCCCACCACCCAAACAATCATAGAAGTGGACGACAGGGAGTGACTCCCAGCTGATGATAATTTGGTAAGCATAATCACTGTCGGTGCCATCACTACAGTATATAGATCTACCTCAGCTTTTGCCGCCGGCAACCAAAACTCATATCTGTGTCTGGTCCATAGTCAAAAAAAACACATTAAATGTAAAATAATGTCAAACGCGACTCTCAGCTTTGGATGGCAGCTGGGTGAGTCCAAACAATGTTGTTCCCTTCACTTCGGAAGCTCTGCAGCTTTGGCCGCCCAACTTGCAGCTTTGGCCGCCCAACTCAAAAAAATAAAGATGCTTATTGCTGAGCCCATAGACAAAATAAACCTGAGCCTGGCACGCAAACGACAGCTGCCGTGAGAAGTCACATGCTCCAAAGCGCTCGGAAGCACTCCGGCACCTCGCGGCCCGCCATCGCCTCCGGCGAAAGACATTTGACTCAAAATCGAAACCCGGTGCAAAAATGTGGTCGTACTCCCAGAACCATGCTTCAAGAATGAAGGCGGAAGTCCGCAGCTATTTATGGCAAGGGGATTGTCCCTTAACCTTCATCTACCCTGGCTTTGATTGTGGCTCATTTGGCTGTGGCTCAAAGTTAGCCAAAGACTAAAACCTGCGTCACCCCAGCTGTTTTATTTTGAGCCCAGCCTTTTTGCGGGTGGGTTGGGCTCTCTGTGACCAGTTGGTTGGTGGGTTGGTTGGTTGGTTGGTTGGTGGGTTGGTGGGTGGGTGGGTTGGTTGGTTGGTTGGTTGGCTGGCTGGCTGGCTGGTTGGTTGGTTGGTTGGTTGGTCAGGCATTCACCGAAAAGTCCGGAGAGCCTGAAAATGAGCCTAAGGAACTCTTTGGACGGTGCTTTCAAATGGAAACTCCGGAAAGGTCAGCATCAACAGGTCTTTTCCCCTTGGTGTACGGGCGTGCTCTCTTTTGGGCCGTTAAAATAACGACACCTGCCTGCCAACTCAACTTGTAAAATGCTCCTCTAGCCAGGAGGAGGACGCATGCTTGCACACAGAACCTTTTCTGTACACCAATGTGAAATTCCCATCCTTGTCATCTCAGCAGGCCAAAGCCCTGATGGACAAACTTCTGCAGTTGCTTCCACCATTCAAATATCACCTTTCATCCAGATCCAGATCCAGTTGCCTCTCCGCAACCGCCCACCTCATCCGGATCCATCCATCCATCCATCCGGATCCATGTGCCTCACCGACCTCTCCCCACCCCAAACCCCCGCCCTCGTCGCCGTCCGTCCCCGTCCCAGACCTCCGCGTGGGTCTCGAAGCTCCGCAGCTCCACCTCGGCCTCGGGCGGCGCCTGTGTCGCCGCCCAGGCCTCTGCGAAGCGCTCCTGGCGCTGGATCCGAGGCATCGAGGCGTTGGATCGGGCGATCGTCCCGCTCCGATCCCAGCAGCTGACGTGGGAGGGACGCGGCATGCAAACGAAGCACCTCCAGGGCCCCGTGCCTTTGCTTGTGCTTGGCTTTGGTACCACTTGCTTTCTTCTTCTGGGCTAAAACAAGGCCCCCGGGCCTTGAAAACAGGAGCGGAAGGCCTTCCGAAACCGGATCGTGAAGGGTTTCCTGTTGAGAGTCCTTTCAAAGGGAAAGAAAAAGGGTACCAACTCAAAAAGAGAGAGGCACGACAAGAAATGGCCGCGGGTCAAAACCCCGTACCCCCGAGTGATTATCCCAATCCCCACTAAAATAGACTAATATGGAGGTGCACCCACCCCAAAATGGGCAAATCTTTCCTAAAAAAGACCCCCAGCTGTTGCGCCAGGGCAACCCAGAGCCAACGGCAACTGGCTGCACGCCTGCAGCTTGGCGCAGAAGTCTGGATATCGCCACCTCGCTGGAAACTGGGATCTCGAAGGAAAAGAAGCGATGTGGAGATCTCAGAGTGGTTTTGGGCTGGGGTTTGCTGTGTGTTTCCTTTGGCGTCCGACCCATTCAGAATGAGTTCCTTAGGTTTCCCAACATACCACAGAGAAGGGTCTAGGCCCCAAAGCCATCAGACGCCCAAAGCTTTCAGCGAAACCCATCGGGGGCCCAGCCAGCTGGCTGCGATCAGATCGGACCTCGGATGGGACATCGGCCGAATGCATGGGAACCTATGGAGCTTACGTCAGGTAAGCGCGTAATAAGCGCTGGTTACCCCACAAAAGCCATGGGTATACGTCTCCGAAGTGGGCTACAACCATGGTTGTTACCCACTTGCTAAGTACAATGCCCCTTTAAGTACCCCACACAAATAAACAAGGGATGGCCATACAATAGATATATATATATATATACATGCAAAGTGGTCACATACCAGGTGCGAATGGACATGGAAATCCCACTCAACAACAAGCCTTGCCGCTTTTGGATGGGTTCTGCAACACGGGTGCGAAATGATGAAATTAACAAAAGCACCACGGTTGCAGGCCAAAGCTAGGCTACATCAGGCCAATGTCTTTGCAAGTATGTGCGATAGTTCTTGATTAAGGAGCATCCGATCACGCAACAACTATCAGGGCACCATGATCTTTTGCACATGACGATGATAATGATGATGTTGATGAGTTTCAGAGGCATGGCACGGTTCAAACAAAGCCGACATGAAGCAACCCGGCTATTATTCGTGATACTGAGGTGGATCAAAGGATCTATCCGTGAGAAAAAAAATGGCCTTCTAGAAAAACGCCCTTACCGAAACGGGTGTGGATCAAGATTACAGAGCTAGGGTTACGCAGGGTCTAGTCCATGGTTCCATTTACTAAGGTTCCATTTTGAGTACCTATTTTTGAGCCACAGCCATATGAGTGCTAACATACAAGCGCAACTATGACCTCGCGCGGCCCGATTTTGCTTTCGGTCTTGCGGGGAGCCCGGTCGCCCGCGTATCACACCGCGGAAAATTTGTACTCGCGCCCGTGAGACGCCTGGCCGCTGCTGAAGATATGCGGGTTGATCAAAAGCTCCTTTACATGGATGACCATGGCAGAAAACCCACTAGATTCCCACTAAATGGGATATTTCCTCTAGATGGGGAAAGTAGATATTTCCACTAGACAAGCCTTAAAAGACGATAGTTTCCCAGTAGATGGGGAAAAGTTACCCATGGCAATCAAAGCTCAAGTGGACTATGGCCACGGTTGCCCTACGAGGGGGTCCATGCTCGCCTCTAGCAACCCCCAAGTAAGCAGGTCCTTCGACGGGGTTGTCCTGCTTCCACCCTTCATGCAAGTTGGGCAATATCCATTGGTCGGCGCCCATTTATGCTTGGAAATATCCCTTACTCTCCACTAACATGAAAACTGCCTGAGAGGTCCTGCCAAACAAGTTTCCTCAAGGGACTTTCTGGTGGGTTCTATGTTACTACACGTCACCGCAACAAGAGGACTCACGTTCAACTCACCCAAGTGATGTTTAAAACCACCCAAAGGAAAAAAAATGGGGAATCCTGTTGGACAGCAGGGTGCTTCATCTCTCCGGGTTTGATGCCACCTGCCAGCTGCCGGCCTCACAGTCCAAGCTGTTGCGCTGCAGTCTGGCACGGAGGACACGTGTTGAATGTTGGGTGAGTGCTTTTTGCGGGTTCAGTTTAAAGGGTGAGGGACCACTCCAGGTTGTTTCTTGGCAGGGTGGAAGTAGATGGATGAAACCATGGGAGAATTGTGCCATGTCTCACCCAACGGTATCATTCGCCAATCTGAAATGGGGTGTGAAGGGAAGCCTGGTAGATGGGAAAATGGACTAAAACCTGCCGTCCATGTTTTGGTGATGACTCATTTTCACCCATACCCACATAAGGGACTCCCCCAAGAAAAAGACAAAACTTCACGTGTGAAGTTAAACCCTTCCCAAATTCCTCGCGATCCTCTCAGGTTTGCGCGTGCCTCTGGGATAGGAAGATGGGCTTGCCTACGGCCTTCTCAGTTTCAGGGGCCCGATTCAAACCAAAATTCTTCCGAGGGTACCGCAGAAGAAGAAAAAAACGGCCCAATGGTCCCTTCAGGCCCAAAGCGGCCGCCTCCAGAATATGGAGTGTCCAAAAGAAAGAATTGCAGAGATGGCTCGCTCCAGCGCATGCTACCGCGCTAGGAAACCTGAACGTGAAATCAACAAAAAGTCCCAGGCGCTTTAAAACAAAATCCCCCTATGATCCGTTTATAGCCGCTTTTTGCACGTCGCCCTAACAAAGAATGCCTTTGCAAATGACCCAAAAGGTGATTTCTGATATGTCACTCACCCAAACTACAGCTCTTGACACAAAAAGGAGCCGGTTCGATGTTAGATCTGTCAGATCTGAACAACTCGCCACAGGTGCCCACTCTTAATCTCTTCAACCCACTACTTGCTGGCGCTCAGCAGGGTCCCTGAGGGAATGACCCCTAAAAAACGTTTCTTGTGTCAAAACCCTGTCATTCCTTGCTGAGAACCAGCAGAACTAGTGGCTTCCCGTTGAGCGCACTTCATTTCTTCCTTGAATGGTTCAAAGGGAAACCCACCCGGTCCCTAATCCTACAGATCCCTCCTTATGGGGTCTCAGCACAGGACCTGCACAATGGTAACGCGTCCTTTTGGGTCCCTTGAAAACCAACCAAAGGACCGAAAGAGGTTTCTGAAAAGAATTCCTTGCAATGGTTGCCTATGTAAAATCCCTGAGGGTCCTGTCCACTACTAAACCCAGGTACAAGGATTTCGTGACCATGGAACCAAATGTGTGTGTTCACCCCAAAACTGATATGGCTCCCTTTTTAACCACCCCAAAAAAGGGTTCCCTCCAACCCCGGTCAAATTACGAGCGTTGTTTCAAGAGGGCAAGGAAAAATTGAAGTGCGCGTTTCCTGGCTTGCTGTTGGAATTTGAGTGACTTCCCCCATGTCCGACCTAAATGTAGGCTCCCGGCCGAACCTCATATGTATATATCCCTGTATGTCTTTCTCTTAGGGGGGCCAAACAAAATAAGCTCAGGTGTTATCCCCAACAGACCTCGTGGAACCCTCGTGGCGGAACCCTCGCAAAACCTTACCTCAGGGCCGCCCCGGACCACCCCGGAGCCTATGTGGGCTGAGACCCCAAAGCTTTCAGCTGTTGGGGAAAAACGCAAAAGGGCCACGCGCCCGCCCGAGCCACCCGCTCTCCTCGCCTTGCCGGTGAGCAGCTCCGCCGCCAGGATCCCCGAGGTGGCGAACATGGCGAAGCGCCCGTTGTTCAGCTCCTGCCGTGGAAAGTTGGGCAAAAGTTGGGCGATCCTAGGCCGAGAGTCTTGACTTGAAGTGGAAGAAGGCGGTGTTCCTCATTGCTGCCAAGGTAGTTTGTAGTAGGTAGTAGGCAGGCAGGCAGGCAGGCAGGCAGGCAGGCAGGCAGGCAGGCAGGCAGGCAGGCAGGTAGGTAGGTAGGTAGGTAGGTAGTAGTAGTGGTTCAAGCATAGGTGTCCTTGTTGGAAAATAGATGGCCCTGGATGCTTGAACCAGAGGCCCTACCGTTGGCATAGAAAAAAGTTAGGCCATCGGGGTTCGAAGAGAGCAGCTTCCCCCAAGGAGAAGGAAATTCAGCAAGGGGGAAGCTTGAGTCTAGAAATGTCCTGACTTCAAGGGGCGATCGGGTACTTAAGTTGGTTTGGTGAGACAAACCCACTAAAATGAGACTTGTGACCATTCGCTTTTGCGGGTTATCTCACCAGGCTTACGACTTACCTGACGTACCTGCTGCCCCTTTAGGGGACGCGTCCAGGCCATTTGTGCAGTCGGGAGCGCAACGGAGCAGAAGCTCTGCCACAGGCGGATTGTTCCTATTTGTGGGCCGATTCCCCCAAAGGGCCGATTCCGGAAAAAGCCTCATTGGGGCCAATGACTAAGGCCTTCTTGGCGTTCAGTGCTCCCTTTTGGAGGGGTGTCCCCTCTTTGGGGGCTGACGAAAAGCGTCCAATTCTGAACCAGCGATCCGAAGCGCATTCTACTCGGGATAGCGATCCGGGAATGACGAGTCAGGGTGTTGGGATTGAACCGTTCTGGTTCCCTAAGGAAACCTTGGATGGTTTAACGGGGTCATTCCCTCCGGGACCTTGAGAACCAACAAGTTTACCAGAAGCTTCCAAGCATTTTGAATCCAGGCTTAGTTGTGTTGCTTTGATGAGAGAGTAATTGCGTTGGGTTAGTCATTAGTATGATGCTATGACGTTGTTGGTTTGCCTTATTTTGCTTGGTTGCTTCTGCTGGGAACAAACAAAAAACATGGTCCTAAGCATCTTGCCATGTGCAGGATGGGGTTGTTGAGATCCAGTAGACAATTACCTTTGAAATCCAACAAAAAGCTCGCAAAATGGTTCTTGAAAAACGATGATCCTCCAGGCCACCTCGAGCAATGAAACTCCACCCCTGCAAGACCAAGTCGATTTGTGGCCTTTCAGAGAGAAAAGTCGCGCCCTTCTCGTGTTCAGCCGCCCTGACCCTTTTGAAACCGCGGATAATCTGTCTGCACACCCATGCTTGTAGATGAGCTGCCAACTGAATTGGGCGAAAGATTTATACCTCGCCGCCGACGCCTCGGCGCCGCAAAAGCGTGCAGAAGCGCCCTTAGCCACGCTCGCCATAAATAAGCTGTGCTTGCCAGCTGCCCAGCTGGCGGATGTTTGGATATTCAGCCCTTCTTGGCATCAAAAAACCCTTCAGCACCTAAGTCTGCCAAAAAACCGCCACTGGATACCTGGACTTTGCTGTACTTTAATGTCTGGATTGGCGCCACAGCTTGTCACTCAAAGGTCACAGTGCTGTGAACATGCGCCGTGTACCCCAAAGCGGCCAAACTGGAATTCTGAAACCAAACTCGAAAAAAAATACGTGCCTATGGGTACAACATCTTGCTGGAAGGGTCTTTTGCCTTGGCAAGGGCGACGAGCTCCTTCAGGAAAGAAGCATCCACTGGTGCCGGTGCAGACTTGCCGGGGGCACAAGATGCGGCAAAGTTGCACGTCTCCATCACGCAAGCCTGGCAGTCCCCAGTGAGGTCAAACTCGTCCCCGCACTTGTCCATGCACTTCTCGATGGAGCACTGGATCTTGGGACCAAAGCACTGAGCACAGACCGAGCTTTCACCCTTCTGCTCCAGGCAGTCGGCTGAGCAAGATGCGAGGTCGCTGGTACCGACGCACTCCTTCCCACAGCCCTTCATCACAGGCTGGTCGGACACGCAAGCGCCGGGGGCACAAGACGCGGCAAAGTTGCACGTCTCCATCACGCAAGCCTGGCAGTCCCCAGTGAGGTCATACTCGTCGCTGCACTTGTCCATGCACTTCTCGATGGAGCACTGGATCTTGGGACCAAAGCACTGAGCACAGACCGAGCTTTCACCCTTCTGCTCCAGGCAGTCGGCTGAGCAAGATGCTAGGTCGCTGTTGCCGAGGCACTCCGCCCCACAGCCCTTCATCACAGGCTTGTCGGACATGCAAACCGACGCAGGCTCGACAACAGGATCCTTTGCCTTGGCAAGGGCGACGAGCTCCTTCAGAAAAGAAGCATCCACTGGTGCCGGTGCAGACTTGCCGGGGGCACAAGATGCGGCAAAGTTGCACGTCTCCATCACGCAAGCCTGGCAGTCCCCAGTGACGTCAAACTCGTCCCCGCACTTGTCCATGCACTTCTCGATGGAGCACTGGATCTTGGGACCAAAGCACTGAGCACAGACCGAGCTTTCACCCTTCTGCTCCAGGCAGTCGGCTGAGCAAGATGCAAGGTCGCTGGTACCGACGCACTCCTTCCCACAGCCCTTCATCACAGGCTGGTCGGACACGCAAGCGCCGGGGGCACAAGACGCGGCAAAGTTGCACGTCTCCATCACGCAAGCCTGGCAGTCCCCAGTGAGGTCATACTCGTCGCTGCACTTGTCCATGCACTTCTCGATGGAGCACTGGATCTTGGGACCAAAGCACTGAGCACAGACCGAGCTTTCACCCTTCTGCTCCAGGCAGTCGGCTGAGCAAGATGCTAGGTCGCTGTTGCCGAAGCACTCCGCCCCACAGCCCTTCATCACGGGCTGGTCGGACACGCAAACCGCTTCACTTGCGGCTTCATCGGACGTGCCCACAGCAAGCACTGCCAGCGAGGCAAGCATCAGCATCTTGGTCATGGCTTCGAGTTTGAGTGGCGCCTTGTGATCCAAACGGCTTGCCATCCGCACAATTCAGCTTCTCTCACCAGCTCTTTGCCACTCGCCGCCCTCTCATTGCCAGAACATTTCAACACGCCTGGCCTCGCAAAGTCCACGCCATCCCCCAAAAACAAAAAAACCAAACCAAAAACGGAACGCTCTCTTCCCGCGTTCCGAAACCTCGGGCGCTCTGATTCCGCCCGACGCGCGCAGCGATTTATGAGCTGCGGGGGGCCCTCGGCCGCTCGGCCGCTCCTTGTTCCTCATGTCCTTGTCGTACATGCCCAGGCCCAGCGGGTCCCCAAAGTTCCCGGGCTCCTTCCAGGGGTCCTCCTTCCTCGGGTCGGGCTTTTTTCTCCCGCTCCGAAGGCCGTCGCTTTTTTGGTCGCAGGCAGGGCCAACTTGGGGCTGAGAAAATTGGGGACCCTCAAAAGAGTCGGTTAGAGTTTGTCCCTTTTACACAACTAAAAAAAAAGAAAAGAGTACCCTCAAAAACAGACACTCTCAGTGGGCCGTCGTGCTCGGAAACTGGGCCAAACCGCGTCAGCCTAGCACCAAGCGCCCAATTATGCCTGTCAGACTTGAGTTCTGAAACAAAAACAGTGGCCATCTCATGCTTGTAATTACCCTCTCAAATCAAAGCCCACTCATCCCAAACAAGCTCCCAGCTCCTGCCCTCTCAAGTCGAGCTCCAAAAACAAGCCCTATCGGACAACCAAAACGACTTGCTCCTTTTCACCTTCACCTGCCTCATATCCGAAATGGGACCGCCAAGGTCTCCTAAAGGAGACGACCTCGCACCCACTCCCCAAGATCGGGGAGGCTTATGATTCAACACGAGGGAGGGGTTGGAAAATACTCGGTCCGTTGCGGCACACCCTATCCACTGCCGCGGGCCATGGCAAATGGATTTTTTGTTACTTGGGGATGGGCCCAACCGAGAGCTTATGCGGTTTGGGGCCAAAGGTTTAACCCCCCCAACTCAATTAGGCGTTGGTTGTCCTCTGGTTTCCATTCAAACCAACTTTTATAAGGGGTGCCGAGCCTCAAAAACGCACACAAAAAACAAGATCACCTCTCCCATCGCTTGCCTCACCAAAATTGGCCGAAGGCGCCACCAGAGCCACTCGACCAGCATGGAGGCGATCACCACCATGCCAAACATCCACAGCGAGGGAATCAGCAGAGCCTCAGTCCCAGACAGCCTGGAACCATTGGCTCGATCGAGCCATGTTGTCCAGGAAACCGCAAAAAGCGAGGATACGGTTTAAGGTGGTGGAAAGGCAGAATGGAGGAAACAACGTTAAAGCGGAAAAGGTAAGCTGAGTCAGGCAATGGTTTGCCTGAAAGGTGCCCATCTTGGGGCATTGCTATCAACAACGGGGAAAAACAATAAACTTGAAGAGGAAAAGCACCTTGGAAACGGCATCACCCAGAATTGGCAAAGGACCAGACTGGTCGTCCCCTGTCTTTTACGCAACCAGTCTACCAGAGTCTCAAAATCGCAGCCTCGCCCCTTGGCCTCTCTCCCCTCAGGACAAGGCGCCGCCTTGTACCCGGCCGGGGAATCCTTCAAGCCGAGGATCCTCGGACCGCTGAACTTTGAGTCATCAAAACCCGGGATTCAAAATGGTCGTAATCCCCAAACCATGTAAGGGAAAACAAGGGAGGGCCAGCAACTGGGGCTTAAAGCGCCAAAAGTGAGTTGAGTCGCAATCAGAACCCGGTATTCACATGGTCGTCATCCCAGAACCATGCTTCAAGAATTCAGAAGGCGGATATCCGCAACTAGTTCTGGCTGGGAGTCTCCCTTACTAACCATCTACCCGAATCGGTTGTGATTGTGGCTCAAATGAGGACTGTTCGAAAGCCCCCAGGCCTGGAACTTGTGACGTTGCAGAGACGTGCTCCCTCCACAAACTCAAGGGACGTCTACGTGTTAATCCATTTGGCTTCTTGGGGTGTTCAACGAACCTATGAGTCGTACTCAACACCTGCTCCCAAGTCCAAAAAAAATACAAGGGTGGCTCCGTCGCACCATGTGTTTTCGGCGGGTTCCGTCCCTTAACCTTCACTTGCCCAATGGCCTCATCTGCTCGGCTGCGACTTGCTGGGGCCCGGGCGGCAGGCGGATGTAGCATTGGGCCACCAGGCCAACAGAGGCGAGCATCCTGAAGCGTCACCAAGAGACATGCGACATGTGCTGCGTCAACTGAAAGTTGCCCCCCCCCCGAACGAAAGTCGGCTCCTGTGTTTATTTTGGCACATCACCCCATGGCCCGGCAAATGCCTAAACACCAGGGGAAAAAAGGGAACCCATCTGGCGGTTTGGATGGCTTGGATGTGTCTTCGAATTGGCCTCACCCAGTGGGGTGACTCCAGCGATGGATCGAACAGGCAACGAGGCTCGTGCTTCCCTCAAAGGAATCAACGGCCAGCATTGGTGAAAAGGAAAGGCTCCAACTTCACATGGTACTCTGGAACAGAATCCTGCCAGAATCGACGCGTCGAAGTAAACAACCAAAAGATGGGTTCCCGAAATCACGGATCTGACAAGGGGATAGTTTCAATCAACTGGTTGTGTGTTTTCCCCACCCGACAGGAAGGGGCTGTTTGAATGGAATCCGCGTTTGCGATGCTTCCACACCACGCCCCCACTCCCGCCGAGTATCCCGCCAGAGCAGCTCGCCACAGTGGATCCGCCGAGTATCCCGCCAGAGCCGCTAGACAGTGGATCCCACCCAGTATCCCTCCAGAGCGGCTCGCCAATGAATCCCGCCGAGTATCCCGCTGAGTATCCCAGAGTAGCTCCGCTGAGTATCCCTTGCCGGTGGATCTGGCCGAGTATCCGGCCAGTATCGAGCCGGAGCGGCTCGCCAGAATTCGCCAGTGGATCCCGCCAGTATCCCGCCAGAGCAGCTCGCCAGTCTGGTTTTGCTTAATGTCCTGCCCGGCGCACAGTTGGGTTTACATTTCATGTTGGCGCCTTCGTGTTTTGAGTGTACCCTGAGGCTCGGAAAGGGTGATGGTTTTGTGTTGCTTTGGGCTGTGAATAAGCAACTTCGTTTCATCCCCCGTCGGGTTTCTTTTTGGAAGGGGCTTGGCTTTTGTTAACGGAATCGATGTTTGAGTTCTCGAGATCGGCTCGCAGACAAGTGGATTTTGACGCGCAGACAGGTGGATAAGGCTCTCAATACAAAGCTTTTTGAGCAGTCATAGGCCCCAAGCCACTCGAAAACCATGCTTGAGTTCACAAAACCGTGTTCACGGTCGTAAGCTCGTGAGTGTGGAAGGTGGGGATTGCTCGAAGCGAAGTAAATTCTACATGGTCAAAAATGTCGCCTGCAGGCGAGATTTACTTGGATGTCCGTATTTGTTGAGGCTCACCCTGTTTGGGGATGGTTTGTAAGGGCAGCCAGCGGCGTTTCAACCGCCGAGTTGGGGCTCCAAAGTCCCCATCTTGCGCCGCGCTTGAACGAACATCCGCTCCCAAACCTCCTCCACCCCCCCCCCCAGAAAAAAATGTGAAATTTTTTTTTAAAAAAAAAAGCGTAGACCCCGAACAGGTTGTAAGAACACAAAACAGGTCAAAAGCCTGGGGCAAGAGAAAAAGCTTGGGGGTCCCTTTGGTCTCCCCTTAAAAAACTCTCCTTTTCCAAGCCCAAACAAAAACACCGGGGTTGCCCGCTCCAAACGGCGCGAAACGCGAAACGCGAAACGCGGCCGAGCGGCGCCACCCGGCCGTGCTTCAGCTCCGCCGCCCGCATCTGTCGGAACCGGCCCTCGTCGCCCATGGGGCAGAAGCCCAGGGGGTCGAAGTAGCCCAGCGGGTCCTTCCGAAGAACACGGCGGCTGCTCACAAAACAGGTGCTGAAAAATGGGCACCAACATGGCACCAAAATGGCACCTAAAAAATGTACCAAAACATGATGGCGCCAAAGAATGGGTCACAAGAAGGTACCGGAGAAAATGATGGAACCCCCAAAAATGGGGGCTCCAAGACACCAACGGAAGTGGCTCGACAAAAGGTGAGCCATAATGGCATGGTGCATGGGACCAAAGACTAAACCTGGGTCCTTCCGAAAACGCAAGCTGGCTCAAAAAATTGGGGGAATCCCATAATGGAACCAAAAGGTCAATGGAAAGACTCCATCCCGCGGTTTTCGAGCCACGCCCTCTTCCTAAAGGGGCGATCGATGCAGGGTACGTCTTCCATCGTGCTGCCGAATGATATATGTTTGTTAGCTTGTCTCCATGAGTTCATTTATGTTGTCGTCTTTTCTGTTGGTACTCGTTTCTTATTTGGGGGTGAGAAAAAGATGCTTTGGTTGTCTCTTGGTTTCGCTTTCTACCAACTCCAAACAAGGACTCGCCCAAATGGTTCTGCCGCTTTTGGTTGCTAAGGGAAGCCAAATGGACATCGGAACGCCATTTTCGGGGTCCGATTAGTTTGAGAACCCCTCAAACAAGTTTGAAGGGGCTTTCAGGTACTTAGAAAGTGGGTAATAACCATGGTGAGAACCCACTTAGGAGACTTGCAACCATGGCTTTTCTGGGTTATCTCACCATAAAGTTGCTACCCACGAAACCTGACGTACCCTGCATCGATCGCCGCTTGAAAAAGACACGCCCCGTTTCTTCAGGGCTCCCTACATTTCCTTTTTTTGCTGGTTTCCGGTTCTTCTGATCTTGTTGTTTGAAGGTTTCCCTTTTGCCTTTAAAGGGAAACCATCACTACTGGACGTGCTTTTTTATGTTTTCTTTTTTCACGGGGGGCAACAGTTGTTTCACGGGATGAGATTCCCACTGAGTGGGAGCGGTTCATGAAGGGGCCTTTGTCCTACATCCTTGAGGTCATTCAGATCCTCAACCTGTGTGTAGTTGCCGATTGCCAGTGTGCACAGTGGCACAATCCAGAGGCCTTGCCGGTCGATACTGCACTGCTTGATGTCTGGAGACGCCACTACTGTAAGTTGGGCTACAGACCTGAGAGCCCTTCGCAAGCGGCATTGTATCTGGTCAGCATTCGTGTCCCTCGTGTTTTGGTTGAGCCTTTGCTGGCCATCAGCGGCACAGGTGGCATTTACTGCGAGCCCAGATCTGCCGATGGTCTGCAACCTGACAATCAGTTCAGTGTCATTTGGTTACCGCGTACCGATCGGGCTGAGGCCATGCTACTCAAGCAGTCCAAAGCCGGGAGTGTCAGTGTGGTCCGCATGGGATCGCGCTATGGGGTCCGTGTCCGTACGCTTGATGCCGCCAGGCTTCATGCGGAGTTACGCCGTTTGTGGCGGCCGGAGAAAGGCGCACGTACACAATGGGCCCATTCCCTTACGGGACCCAGCGGAGTGCCATCAGCAAAGTGCTGGCAGCCATCAACTGGCAGGCTCGCCCCACGCAGCCGGTTTCCGCTCCGGGTGTGACTGGCACACTGTGGGCCATCCAGTGCGTCGATGCCCCACCAGACACCGTTGTCCACACAGCCGTAGGAGTCATGCTGATTAAGGAAGTTGAGCCTGATCATCCTGCACCAATGCCCATGGGCCATGCCGGGTCAGCGCACCCCGCCACGCACGCTGCGCAGGATCCGTTGATGCGCAATGATCCCTGGAAGCAAGCCTTGCAGGCTGCGGCCACCAGTTCGGCCCCTAGCGCCTCGGGTCATCAGGGATCCCAGGATGCGCTCCAGCGCATTGAGGCTCGAATTCTCCAGAGAGTCGAGCAGAAAGTCGAGGCGCTCGCCAAAGCGCGCCAAACCAATGGACCCGGGGATGGCGACTCCGCCATGGGTGATGTCGACATGCAGCAGCGCATGCAGCAAGTGGAGCAGCAGCTCCAATCCATGGCCACCAAGAACGCCCGCATGGAGACTTGGGTGGCTGAGCAAGCATCCCAGCAAAATGCTCGCATGGAACGAGTGATGTGTAAGGCGGCCGATGCCGCAAGCTGGCGCTGCATTGGCGCAACGCCACCAGCCAGTAGTGTGTCGCCCACTCCGCAGGCTCTGGCCTCTGACTCTGGTTTTTCTTTTCTCTTCATGCCGTGTAGGGGAAGCCGCAAACCCAGGGCCCGAGTCTAGCCCCGCGGAATGGGCTTTGGGGGTTATTAATCCAACTGGATTAGCGGGTAAAGAGCCAATCTGTGATAGCCTACGTAATGGGGTCTGGGCTATCAGTGAGACACACCTGACCACAGTGGGTCGGGGACGTTTTGCCAAGGGTATGAAGCATATCAAATCTGATTTCACTTACATTGTGCATGGCGCGCCAGTCGCCACGCGTGCTCATTCGGACGTTGCTGGCGAGTGGGCCGGGGTTGCAGTCATGGCTTCGGCCCCCACCCGTGCGTTGCCGGTCCCTTGGGACCCAGGTGTGTGGGCGTCAACCCGTGTCGTTACCACCGTCTCGCTTCTGGGTGATGTTTGGGTGACCGGTGGTGTTGCTTATGGGTTTCCCGCAGGTGCTACTCATTGTGATGCATTGTCCAAAACCGAGCAACTCTTAACCGAGCTTGGCCAGCATGTAGTGTATGGGGCCAAAGGCCCGAGGTTCGTGGCAGGTGACTGGAATCACCTCCTCGACGACATAGGAGTCCTGCGTCAATGGGAGCAAGAGGGATTTCAGGATGTCCAATGCCTGGCGCTGCAGAGGTGGGGTGTTCGGCCTCGGTCCACATGTAAAGGAGTCTCACGCAAGGACTTCCTTATGGTATCCCCTGAGCTGGCACGCCTCTTGAAAACCGTGGAAGTGCAGGAGTCCTATTTTGCCGATCATGCGGCCGTGTGGGGGGTCTTCCATGTGCCCGGTCGTGCTTCCCTCCTTCAGTTCCGATGGCGCAAGCCAGCCTCCATGCCTTGGAACGCCGTAGGTGAGCTTGGTGATCACCCCAGTGTGACTACGGCTGATAACCCAACTGATGCCTACCGTAAAATCATGCAAGACTTTGAATCCCGTGTTGCCCTGGCAGCGCAGCCAGACGCTATTCCTACCAGGTGCCATGGTCGGGGCGCTACCCTGGAGCCTCGCCGGGTCCAAGTTGCTGTGTGCCCTATCAAGCCAGGTCGCGAAGGGGAAATCATGCCTGCTGTGGGGGGAGCTACGCGCAAATACGCGCAGTGGTTCAAGCAGTTGCGCCGAGTGCAGTCGTATGTGCAAAACCTGAAGCGGGGGTCTAGGACACAGTCAGCGCAAGTGTATCAGGTTGAAGTCTGGTCATCCGTAGTGCACGCAGCGGGGTTTGAGCCGTGTTTTGCCGCTTGGTGGGAGGCCCGGGCCAGTGTGAGCTCTGGGGCCCCATTACAACTGCCCACTTTTCCACCTGCCTTGCCGGTTGCGGAGGCCATTTTCCTTGAGTTACATGCCGAGGTGAAGTGCCTTGAAAGGACCATTGCCTACGCACGGCTCAAGCAAGCTAAAGTTCGCCGCCAGCAAGCACCGCGTCTCATTTTTCAGGACATTGCTCGTGATCGACCAGCACCAGTTGACATGTTGTTGGATCAGAGCACAGCCACCGTTCTTGAGGTCCGCCCTGAAGATTGTTCTGTCCTTGTTGATCCACCCAACAGCATTTGTCATGACCGACCCATTCACGCCAACGGTCGTCAGATAAGCCCGGTTCATGCCGACTCTGATGTAGTATGGTTGCCCGAGCCTTGTGACCTTCAACCCGGTGATGTGATGGTGCAGCACACCCTTGTTGCCAACTTGCCTGATTTGTTCAGCGCTTTTGGTGAGGCGTGGAAAGCCCGGTGGGATCGCCATGCTCAAGTCCCCGCCGATCGGTGGGACGACATCCTTGGGTTGGTTGCAGAGTTGCCTCAGATTCCCGCAGAGCCAGACCAAGCTATCACCTTGGTCCAATGGCAGCGCGAGCTCCGCCGCAAAAAGAAAGTTGCCGCCACTGGCCCAGATGGGCTTTCTCGTAGTGACCTGCTTCGGTTACCTGACTCACTGCATCTCGCCTTGATCGGCGTCTGTGAACATGCTGAGCGAACGGGCGCTTGGCCTATGCAGCTGGTCACAGGCATCGTGAAATCTCTCCAGAAAATCCCAGGTGCTGCAACGGTCAATCAGTACAGGCCGATAACCGTGTTCTCGCTTTGCTATCGCATATGGTCTTCGTTGCGGGGACGCCAGGTCCTTCGGCATTTGTGTAAGTTTGCCAGCAGCGGTATGTTTGGAAACTTGCCAAAGCGGCATGCCAAGCAGTTGTGGTGGATGACACAGCATCAGGTTGCTGAAGCACACGAGCTCGGCTACGCCACTTCCGGCCTCATCTGCGACATAGTGAAAGCATTCAATTGCCTACCTCGCTGGCCAATTTTTGCCGCCGCCGCCCGCCTGGGCTTGCCCAGCGGTGTGCTCCGTGGCTGGTACGGGGCAGTGCTGCTCATGGAACGTCGTTTCCAAGTGAGAGAAAGTGTAGGGCCACCAATCAAAAGCAGCACAGGGTTCGCAGAGGGCTGCGCGTTATCTTGCGCAGCAATGGCCATCATGGACATCCTTTTTGAACTTGTGGTCACCCATGAAATCCCAGGTTCGCTCCCGCTCAGTTTTGTGGACAACTGGGCGGTCCAGGTGGAATCGGCTAGGGATGTTCCTCGTGCGCTGGAAGTAGTTGAACAGTTTGCCGCCACGGTTGATCTGCAGGTAGACCGGGATAAAACTTATGGGTGGGCAGCGCAGGCTGCCGGGCGCCAACAGATCCGGGCCGCAGGCTGCAACGTGAGGCTGTCAGCCCGGGATCTTGGAGCCCACATGCAGTTCAGTCGCCAATCCACTAATGCCACCAGTATGCGACGCTTTCAGGAGGTGCGCTTGCTGTGGCCCAAGCTCCGAAAATGCCTTTCCCCATACCGGATCAAGGTCCAAGCCCTCCGGGTGGCCGCTTGGCCACGTGTATTGTATGGAGGCAGTGTTGTCCACCTCGCTTGGAACAGTTTTAAAAAGCTTCGTTCCGGGGCGGGGCCATGAAAGGGTTAGGGGAAAATAAGCCTGGTGCTAGTCCCTTAATTCACATAGGCTTGCTTGAAGCTCCGGGCACCGATCCTGGCTTTGCAGCAATTTGGGAGGCGGTGCGAGACTTTCGGTCTGAGGGTGAGTTCCATCGTGCTGAGATCGCCTTGGGAGCTGCAGCCTCGCTGACGCGCGTCATTACCCTGTGGGTCCGGTAGGTGTGCTGTTGGAACGGCTGCATTGGCTAGGCCTTTCAGTGGACGGGCAAGGCAAAGTGCATGACAACCTTGGGGGTTTCAGCCTCGTGTCCGACGCTGCTCAAGCGGTTAAATTCCGGCTGCTTCGCGCCTGGCAGCAAGCGCTTGGGGCCATTGTGCAGCACCGCCGACACTTCGAGGGCCTGGGAACCGTGGACGTGCCCGAGTCGCTCCGTCTTATGAAGTCTCGGAGTGAAAGCCAGCAATCTCTCATGCGGGTAGTGCATAATGGGACCTTTTACACGAACGATGCCCTTCAGCATGTGGCTGCGGACCTAGGACCGCAGTGTACTTGGTGTGGCCAGCAGGATAATCTCATGCACCGGTTGTGGGAGTGTCCTCACTTTGCATCAGCCCGCACAGACTGCCCGGCTGATGTCCTTGACCTTGTAGACTCGTTGCCGCCGTGCCTGGTCTGCCATGGGTGGACCCAAGAGCCTAGAGGTCGGACCGAGTTTCTGCAGTACTTGTTAGCTGTCCCTGATACCTCTGCCGTCCTTGAGCCCGTCTGCCCACTGGGTCCAGTGTGTGATGTGTTTACTGACGGAGCGTGTTTAAGCCCAGCCGAGTCGGCTACACGCCTCGCTTCGTGGGCAGCCCGCCTCGCTCGTGATTACAGTGACAGCCCTAGCAGTGCTGCTATAGGGGGTGGTTGGGTTCCAGGAGTCCTGCAGACAGCCTGCCGGGGCGAGATATTTGCGGTTCTGTGTGCTCTCAACTATGCCGTAGCCTGGTCCGTGTCGGTGCGCATCTGGTGCGACAACAAAGGAGTCGTCACCAAGACTCATGACATTGTGCACCGCAAATGGCAACGTGCCATTAACTGCTCTGATCATGACTTGTGGGACCGCGTTGACAGTGCCGTCCAACTTCTCGCCTCCCGGGACCTCCATGTGTCTATTCATAAAGTGGCAGCCCATCTCACCGCACAGGATGATGAAGGGCCCCTTAGTGAGTGGGCACGCACGCTCAATGCCCAGGTTGATGCGCAGGCTGGGTGGTCTAACCGAAATCGCCCCGCCCATGCACTGTCTTTACGCGACCAGTTGACAGCTAACCTGCGCTCAGCTCGCCGTATCACAGCTTGTGTGCAGGAAGTTCAGCTTAAAGTGGGTGAAATTGCCATGCGTTCCCAGGTCCAAGCAGGAACCCGGGCTCCTATGGCACCTCCGGTCGGGTCCATCACCCAGCCTACAGCAGTCATGGTTATTCCGACCCAGGTGGCCCAGCCGCCGCACAAAGTGTGGCAGCGTCTCGGACACGACGTCGTGCAGGCAATTGTGAACTGGTGGCCTGGCACGCTCGACCCTCAGCAAGAGCCGCAGTGGTGTAGCACGCTCCAGTTGTTGGCAGACTTTCAAATGGCCACTGGCACTATGGGACCGGTCCGGCAGGCCGGCCGGGATCAGTGGCAGTTGCCGGGCCAGACTAGTACCCACCGTTTGGTGCCTGTGCCCTTTAAGGTCCGTATGCGTTGGTTTCTCCAAGTCTTTAAACAAGTTTTGGCAAGCCAAGGCGTCAGCCTGCAGGTAGCGTTTGCTCGGCCCGCATCCGAATCCGTGCACATGTGGACGCGTTGTGTTGCCTGGCGGTGGAAGGAGGCTCGCAGAGCCCAGGTCGAGCAGTGGGTCCGTCAGCAGTCCCCTTCAGGCGCAGTGCAGCGCGCCGGCAACGAGGTGAATCGCTTCAAAGTGGCAGAACGTATTGCATGTATGGTAATTCACGGTGATGGTGTCGAGCACGGTCTCCACCGCTGGTTCCGGTAGTGTCGTACGCACTGTTCAATCTAGGGCCTGGACGTGTTCTGCAATGCCGAGCACGTGCAACCAGTCGAAAGAGTCGAAAGAGTTGTTTCACTTGCCCCAGGAAAAAGGGGTGTGTGTGTGTGTGTGCGTTTGTGTGTGTGTGTGCGTTGCCAAAATCAAGCACAAACTGGACAGCGTCAATGGGAAGCCCAAAGCAGAAGCAGCCGGAGGTTTAGAGGGAAACACACAATCATGGCTTACAACAAGCCGAGAACCCCTTGGGAACTGCTTCGGACACGGCCAAATGCTTGCCCAGCCACGTGTTGATTGGACCATTCGTGTTAGGTAAGTGGTTGGCAACCATGGTTGCAACCCACTTACTATGGTGATTAGTCTCCTAAGTGGGGTTGTAACCTTGCCACCTTTAAGTAGCAATTGGCGGCGGGTAGGTATTTTAATCGGTATTTAGGAAGATCGACCGAAGGAAACCATTTAGGCAGCGCCCGTTTCGCACAGTGTCTTTTGGTTCTGCATAGGGAGAATACTGTACTCTCCACTAAACCAGGCAGTAGAACCACCTACTGAAACAGGTGCTGATCATTGACTCATGTCGTGTCGGTGGCAAAGGGGTTGTAGGTAGGTCTTGCACGATTGGACAGGAATGTCCGAACGGGAAGTAAGTGCTTTGCCAAGTGAGAAGTGAGTTGATGTTGGTAAACATGCCAAAGGTGGCAACAGGTGGGCTTCCGATCGCCAGCTCCCAGTCCGGCGAACAGGGAAACTTGGAAAGCTCCGAGCTTTCCAAGGCTCCCTAACCAACCAGGGGAATGAAGTCGTGACAGGAGAAAAGATTTTGGTGACCAAAGCTCCTTTTTTCCAACTACCAATTGCCGTAATGATTTTCTCAATTGGGGAGCAAACCCCGGATTTCTCCGAGAGACCGCATCACGCCCAGGTGCTCTCGGCTCCAGCAATCACAACAGCTTAAGCTGTGCTGGGGGGGGTGGGGTGGGGCAATATGATAACGTTCATTGACAGGAACTTCCTGGCCCGCAATCCCTTTGTTTGGGGGTGGGTGGGTGGGGTGGGCAATATGATAACGTTCATTGACAGGAACTTCCTGCCCCGGAATCCCTGAATGTCAACAAACGACTAGCCAAGTCCCCGTATGCGTTTCGACCCATTATTTACAGTGTTTTGAGCGCATGACATACCAACAGACCTCATGCCACTTCATGGAACGCGTGCGGACTTACACCGCGGAAGTCCGTGTGAATCAGCATGAACACAAGTGACCGGGATCTGCTGCAATGTTCAACACTCATTCAAATCCCACTGTAATTGCAAGATTGAAGAAATGATCTGGTCAGACATTGCAGCAGATCCCGGTCACTTGTGTTCATGCTGATTCACACGGACTTCCGCGGTGTAAGTCCGCACGCGTTCCATGAAATGGCATGGGGTCTGTGGGTATGTCATGCGCTCAAAACACCGTAAATAATGGGTCGAAACGCATACGGGGGCTTGTTCGCTTGTTTCTTGATGTTGATTCTTCGGAACAACCCCGGGGTTTGGGCCTCAATTGGTAAGGGGCGAAAAAGAAAAAAGGGAAGAAGAAGACAAAGGAACTTGGTAGTTGGTTTTTTTTGGCCCCTTCCAACCACTAGCTAGTCATAAGACCGAACGAATTCCTTCGATCGAGTGGCCCCAAAGCCCGTGCCGCCAACTCGTGAGCCGAGACGCCACGGCCCCAACCTCCCCTTTGGGGTCGAAGACCTCTCGCTTCACCCGCAGCTTCGGCGCCTGCCGCGGTACTCGACTTCTGAGTAGGTTAGGATGATCCTGGTTGTTTCTAGATTGTTTTCTACTTGATTGATAGGTCTGGTTGTTTTTACTTGCTTCTAGTTGTTACGTGCTGTTCTAGTGCTTTCTCCGGGTGAGTCTGATTGCTTCTAGATGTTCTAGTGTTTTGGCTTTTCTTTGTCTGTGTGTGTGTGTTCTATTGTTGTTGTTGAAGGGAACCAAAAACAAGGAAAAGGACATTCCTCTACCTATGCGATCTTGTTTCTTGGCTTGGTCCAAGCCGTTCCAATCAGGCGACCAAGTCCAGAAAAGCCCAACCCCCAGACCCCCAAACCCCCGAACCCCCAGACCCCCAAATCTCCAACCCGAGACCCCCAACGCCCCCCAAACGCGAAAGCCGACGCGAACTCGACGCGCACGCGACGCCCACGCGAACTCGGGTCGGGGGGGTGTTTTCGCGCCTTCTCCATCTCCGCGGGCTCCGCCTGCAAGCCCCGAGCCGGCCAAAAATGGGCGAGCGTTGGGAGGCCGAAATGATATTTTATTTTATTTATTTTTTTTTTGGGGGGGGGTTTGAGATTGAAAAGGACCCCAAAAGGAGAAAGTGAGGTTCTTGGATGAGGTCCCTAGCTTCGACTCATACGGTTCTGGAGGCGTCCGTTTTCGAGGGCGGTGAAAGGGGAAACCAAAGACCACTGTTTGGGTTCAAGCAGAAGAAGACTTAAGGCAATCAAAGGAATCCGATGGATAAGCTGGACCCTTCAAACCCAACCTCCACGGCAATCATTGTATACGCCCCACATCTGGGGTATAGTCCTATCAAGGCTATACCCTGCAGAGCCTAGACCTAAAGAGTTGCAGTAACAGAGACCCGACTCCTGGTTCAACGCCCCGTGGCCGAAAGGCCCAAAAAAAAAATACGGCCCTGTCCGTCTAGAAATCAATTGTCATTTCCTCATTTCCCCCCCGAACCCTAACATCAGGGTCTAAATAAGTAGAATGGGGTTCTGGGGTTCTGGACGGGTAGTAAAAAAATTGCCCCTAACCCTAAGCCCCTGAGCCTAAACCAGTGGACCAGGCCACCAATCTGAGGATTCCGTTCGCTTCCCGCCTCCCGCTTTTCAATGGCCGTCTCCGCCTCGGACGCCTCGGACTCTTCGGACTCTTGGGACGGCTCCACCTTCTCCGTCTTCGCCTCCGCCTTCGCCTCCGCCTTCGGCTCCGCCTTCTGGGCACGCCCATACTTTGTCACCTTAAAAGGAGGTTCCTGGAGGTTGCAATAGGTAGGGAATGTGGGAATGAGCCGTTGGATGGTTCTTGTTGGGTTCATTCTTCATGCCCTGCATCTCCAGCAAGGTTCCTTGGTATCACAACATGCCTCCGCCCGGCGCGCCACGCGCCGCCCCAGCGCCGCACCCAAAGGCACGGCCGCGAGCGCCGCGCCGCGGGCCGCGCCGCCCGGCGCGCGGAGCCGCGGCGCGCGGAGCCGCGGCGCGGTGGGGGCCGCGGGTTGCGGCGGCGATCGCACGGAGAGCTGTGCCGGGAGCATCATGGCGGGGGAGAATGGTGTAGCCGGGGGAGATGATGAATACAGATGTGTCCTTTTATGAATGTACATGTCTAGATGTGTGTGTGTATTTATATATATGAATATGTATATATATATATATATTGTTATTTCTTTATTTATGTGTGTGTGTGTGTGTTCAGTAATGCATACATACTCGTGCACGCACGCACACATGATTGCCGGGCTCGGCCGAGTGCGATGGATATGTCATAGCCTTGAAGCCAAGGCCAACGCAAGTGGAATTCGCGATGGCCCAGCGGCCACGAGGAAAGATTATGGAAACTCACCCGGCCCAAGGGAAGTCGCCTTACTCGGGGATATGGAAAACCACCAAGGGAGATAATATCAGCAAACTGTTTTTTGCTGGCCCCGGCATAAGGAAGCAGCCGGACCATCCGGCACCGATTTCGCAGGTGCCAGAAGAGTTAACCTCTGTACTAGAAAAACCGAAACGTAAAGATAGAAGGGAAGCCTTTTGCCTGCCGATGCCACAACTTGGACCCGGCCCCAACCCCAGAACACACCAAAAACCATAAATGTTCAGCACGACTTTGTCATATTTTGCCTTATCCCCCCCCCCAAAAAAAAAACTGGAGGAGACCCAAATCGATTTCTGCGGCTGTCCACAAGACACGCCTCTGAAGCCTCAACTACCGCTGAGCACCCTGCGATCCTCTGTCCAAGGTTGTGACCTGCGGCGTGCCAAGCAGCCAGACCCAACCAAACCCAACCAAACCCCACCCAAAGGAACCAACCCCAACCACCCAGCCACCCAGCCACCCAACCCATCCACCCAGCCACCCACCCAGCCAACCCACCCAGCCACCAACGCAGCGATCCCATTTCCCTCGGACCTAGCGGTTTGAACCGAAGCCCTTGGAGCGCGCCTCCCAAGAGAGCACGTGGTCCAGCATGGCCACCAGGCAGGCGGCCTCGCTCCGACGGCCGCCGCTGTCAGTGGGCCCCAGCAAAGCGCCAAAGAGGAGTCTCCAGTGTTCGAGACACCCACGGCTTCAAGCCAAAAGATCCAATGAATAGTTGCAACACCTCCAAAAACCGAATCGATCGTCACAAGTAGTGGAAAACCAAGAAACGGCCCTCTCCCGTTTTTGCCAATTGGGTGTGATTTTTGATAGGAAGCCCTTTGGTGGACACGTAGGTGGGGATTCATGTCCACCCACAGGCGGAAGGCGGTCATTGCCCTGGTCGCAACCCTGTTCCGGTCGGCACTGAAGACTTGAGAAACCAGCACTTCTGTTCTACCTTTCAAAGAAGATATGTCCAATATGGGTCTGTCTGTCTGTCTTTCTTGGGGGAGTACCCGTTTGTTGTTGCATTTTTTCCCGTGCTTATTGTGTGTGTGTGTGTGTTTTTTTCTTTGGGGGGGGGGGGGGGTCAAAGGAAAAGCAACAGGAAATCACCATGTTGGAGGGGGAGTCTCTTGTTTGGGGGGTGTCTCTTTTTAGGGGACCCCAGTAACTCTGACCAGCCATCCCCCCCCCAGAAACAGCACCAAAACCATGCCCACCCCTCCCCCCCAGCACAAAATTCCCACTGATGGGTGTCCCTGTTCTTGCGCGGAACCCTTTTTGAGCCTGTCCCTTTGGGAGGCACTTTGTTCAACTCAAACATGCTTGTGGGTGTTGGCTGGGAAATGAATATGGTTCCAGTGACACCAATACTTGTCCCAAGGACCTAATGGGAACCCCGGATTCATAAACCCCTGGTTGATTAACACGCGGGTGTCCCTGGGTTTAGTGATTCATCCCTATTGGAGGGGCCCCACCCCTAATAACACAATAATTTCCTCAAACAAACCGCCGGAAGCTCCCCCCAATTGCTCCGTGAATGGAACCAAGTCTTCCAGATTCCCGGGAGCTTCCGGGAGAAATCGCCTGGAGGGGATAGAACCGGTTTATCTCACTTCCTGAGTTGCTGTGCCCAAAAAGAAAAGGAGCCAAAACTTTGAGTTTGCCACCTGAAACGCTCTTCCCCAAAGCTTCAAGTCCAGGAAGTGAGCCTAGGTCCTCCAGATTCGAGAGGTTAGAATAAGGGTACCAACCTTTTGTTCTATCTATTTTAGTAGGGGAACCCAAACCCCAAAAAAAGGACGCGGGAGAGAAGGGCACCTAGCAAAAGGATGCCAAAGGGAGCTAGGAGCCATTCCTCCGAACTCCCATGAAAAAAAAGAAAGACGGACCACCACCTCCCATTTCCGAAGCCCACTCGGCACGTCCCATTTCCGAACCCGGCCGCCGAGGGCGTCGGGGTTCGTCCGAGGCCCGGGCGCAGCTCCGCTGCTTCTCGGGCACCGCCTCCTAAGCACGAAGACCCGAAAAAATCTGCTTGGAGAACTGGCCATGGGTGGCAGAAAACATGTGGCGATCCCATGTTGGGGATGGAAATCCAGTTGCCACCGATTTTTTGATGCTCAGAACATCAGGGTTTGGACATGAGAAAGAGAGGCCTTCACTTGGCAAACGAACAAATCGATTCGGAGCTCCAAGACGAGACTCCCCCCCAACGGAATTCTCACGGCCTCCAGGACGAGATTCCCCGAACCGGTTTTGCTTCGAAAACAAACCACACGAGACAGCTATCCTCAAATAGATGTAAGCATGTATGTCGTAGTTTGCATACTCCCATCCAAGTGAGTATTTGTCTGAGTTGGAGTCAGACCCTTTAAACATTCAGAAGTAAACCAACAGGTTGTATCAGTCTTAGAGCCAGCCCCTGGTTGCAAGTTCCACTCAGCTTGCTAGAATCCTTGCTGAACCAAACGGCTTGCCATTTGGGCATGGGCCATATCATCGATGTCATCTGCATTGTCTGGGTGCAATCTCTGTATGGTTCGACCCGTGCCTTACAAAAGACACGAGGGGAATTCGGAAATTGTGTGCTTCCCGCAAAGACTGAGAAACGCCCCAAAAGGACAAGCTTAAAACAGAAGGGTCCTAAAAATGGCAGAAGTGAGAGAAGCAGTGTGCAGCTGGTGGAAACGTGAACCATCCTCCAACAGCTGATAGTTCCCTGCAGATTCGCGGAAGAAACCCAAACAGAGGTCTCCCCCCAAAGGGGGGTAACCTCTAAGCCTGATCTTCCCTTTGTTTGGCATGCAGAGTAGTGTCAGTGCCATAACGTTATGGTTGGCTGTCTAAGTTCCTTACTCCTACAAGGCCAAAGTAACCATAGTTGGGGGACAACACAACTTCCCAGGACTGCCTTAATACTTTTGGAGGTGGCTTCCTCATCACAGAAAGTGGCCAAGGAAAACCCCCATTCTTCAAAACCATGCCTAGGTCCTCTAGCAGAAAGGTTAGAATAAGGGCACCCTTTAGTCTATTTTAGTAGGGGAACCCTCCCCCAAAAAAGGGTAAAAGGGCACTACTCGGGGACCTAGATGCAAGTAAATAAATGCTCTGACCATGCACCTCTAAGGACCTCAGATCCTGCCTGGATGTAGTCGCTATGCAAGTACCGCGCGAAGTCGCTGACCACGTGACGCATGTCCTGCGGACTTGTTTTTAGAGCTTCAGCCAACCAGTCCGCAAACTCATAACCAAAAGTCGCAAAAGCGGTCCGCCATCCCTTTCTCTCAGTTGCCCTTTTGGAACCCAAGAACGAAAATGACACTACAAAGGAAACCTGTATCATCTGGCATCAAGACTAAGGATTGTGCGTTCAAACAGCCCAAACACAAAAAGAACAAAGAGGACCCGTAAACCAAAAATGATTGGGAAAAAAGAGGAGGAAAACAAAAACAACTAAGGAGTGAACAGCCCACACACGCACAAAGCAAAAATGATTGCAACAAATTCTCGGCTCCTCCCGCCAGCGGTTGTGCCAGCAGAGATGCATCGGGGGCAAGCCGTAGGAGATGCAGGAGCCCCAGTTGGGCGTGTGGGGGTTGTAGTCCAGCCAGAGCCTAGTTGACACCAAAACCGCGGGCGAAAGGCTCGCACATTTGGGTATGGGGTAAAATTAGACCACCAGGGGGACCACAGGTTTTAGTCCTTGGTTCCATTTACCAGGGTTACAATTTGGGTACCTATTTGTGACCCGCAGCCTGGTTTGAAACCACCGCACGTTAGGTTCACCGCGGGACGGCTGGGTGGGCCGGGGGATTTGGTGGTGCGGTTAGGTCTGAGACTGTCCCAGCTAACCGTTACGCTGAAACCAAAACCGCGGGCAAAAGGCTCACCCATTTGGCTGTGCTCAAAAAACCGGTACGAAACTGGAACCCTGGTAAGTGGGAACATGGACCAAAACCTGCGTAACCCCTCCTGTTTAATTTTGAGCCACTCCCATTTGGCTCTGACTTTAAATCGGCAACCCTTGAACGGACTTTCCATGCGGAATTGGGCCAACCAGTCATCTTTGGAGGTTGTCCCATTCAAATTCATAGCCGTTCGACACACAGACAATCCACTAGTTTGTGCCCTGTTTGGGCTTCGGAACATGGGCTCTCTCTTAATTTAGGCCACGGTGTTTGCTTGTCTCTTGTTAGGCAAGGTACCAGGGCCTGGTCTTACCCCAAATTGCTCAAAGCCTACAAGGAGAAAAAGTGAAAACCAAGAGCAAGCAGGGAAAACGATCTACTTAGAAGCTGAATTGTAGGCAACCATGGTTGCAAGGGTTAAAAAAAAGGCACCTGGTAGCTGCCTTCCTGGCCTGAGGGATGAAGTCCTGCCTAGACCAAATCGCTAAACACGTTAAGTACCTCAAGGCTACGAACAAGACCTGTGGTACCAAAAGTTACCACCGCTCCTCAGTCCCACAATGCACAGGGATGATGAGACTGGGTGAAAGTCGGCACAATCCCCGCCAGCTGTGGGCAAGTAACAGGCCTGAGTAAACCAAAAGCGACGTCGGACGTGTGCCTACGTTCACCGAACTCTGGCCTGGAAGGCCGAGGACTCGGACTAAGGAACCGAGTGAGCGATTTTCAGAAGCCTGAACCTCGTCTTTGGGTTAGACGTGGAGCTTTTGAAAATACGGGTACGGCTCAAAGCAGGAATCGGAACCCCCGCAAAAGAAGTGTTTTCCTTGCAGTGTCCCGTTACACCACCCAAAAAATGGGTGCACCCTCAAACAAAGCCGCCAAACGCATCGAAGTCTCGACTTTTGAGTGGCAGAAGAACCTGACGGGTCGCTAGTTTGCTGGGTCCATTTAAAGTGCTGACACTCTCAAAATGGTCCTTCCAACGGTGGCGAACGTGAAAAAGTGAAGAAGAAAGCTGAATCCAGGTTTTGCCCACCTTCCCACCCCAAGCCCGACCCAATTCAAAAATGGAGACCCCGAGAAAGTTTTCCAAGGAGAAGGAAGCAGAAGGCGAGGTCCCCCCCACCCTCCCCCAGCCGCCCTCCCACCCACCCATCCATCCAACAACCCGATTTAATTGAAAAGAACAACTGTTGACAAGAACAAGAACTCACAAAAAGAATCTCAACCCCGAACCAACCAAAGGTCAACCGGTCAACCCAACGCCGAAGCCCGAAGGCCCCTCGGCCAAAGTTTTCGGCAAGGTGCATGAAGCAAAAGGCGAGGTCACCCCAGAGCCGCTTCTCCGCGAAGCGCGAGTCCTCCTCGCTCCCGGCGGCGCGGCTCTCCCCGTTCACCAGCTCGTGCAGGCCTCAGGAATGACTGCTTGATCCGGGTCGATTCGATACCACACGCAAGTGGTGAGAGTGAGCCTGGGGACATAATCCACTGAGTGCAGACGTATAACCATGGCTTTTGTGGGTTATATAACCATGGCTATTACTCACTTACCAAGTACCCTGCCCTTTAGTGGGGGGGTTCATCCAGAGCTCGACAGGACTAAAATCAATCACCCATTGTCAGGTTTTGTTTGGAGGGAATCAACCCCCTGAATTCAAGTGGATTGCCAAGAACAGTCGGACTTCTGTAATACCATTGAGATGGTCTGCCCAAAAAGTACAGTCGGAGGGATAGGAATCAGCCTAGCCGTGTAGCATGGAAACGAGTTGGAAGCAAATCTCGGAGTGCTTTCTTTAAGGGCCAACCCATTTGAGAAGGTCCCCGTATTTTCGCATATACCTTTTTGGCACAATGTCCCACTTTCCGTGTGTTGTGGTTGGTGTTCGTTCCAGAATCCACCGCAGTCACAGCGTGGCACAGGAAGTCTATCCCCCTAGGTATCTTCCGGAAATGGGAACTCTTGACTTTGATTGCGGGGGTGTCCCTGCTTCCTTTCAGTGGGGGTTCAGATCACTTTTGGAGCTGCCCCACCTTGCTGGTGCGATAGGTGGGGAATGAGAAATGGAATGCCCTCAAAGGAAACCACCACTTGGATGGTTTGTCTCGGTGTCATTCATTTCTCATTCCCTGCATATCTCGCACCGATCGCAAGCCACCCCCCAACTTTTGTTGCAGCCATGGGCGCGCTGCCGGTGGCGCATTCTCCCCTCGTTACGCCACGGCGAGCCCGTGTACACGTGAGGCATACCATCCCACCTGAACGAACGCGTGGCGTCCAAGAACCCCTGAAAGGCGAATCATTAACCTCTAGGTGGGTGTGTCATTTTTTAGGGGACCCACTAAAATAAGTTCTCCTTTTGGCTTCCTTTTAAAAACGCAAAAAAGAGGTGCCCACAAAAAAAGACGCCCCCATTCATTCATATGGGGGTGTCCCTGGATTTAGTGGACAAAATCCATCACTTTTGGAAGAAACACCCCCAGGTCTGTTGCCGCCCGAAAGTGATACGGATCCCCTCTTAAATTGGGACACCTCCCATGTTCGTCAACCGAGGCTTCATCCTGGGTTCCCACTAACAAAGAAGATACGACAAAAGGTAGGACAATCCCCCAATTGTTCTGTACTGGCGGAGGAGGTTCTATCAAACCTTATTTGGGACAACACCCGACCATACGGAGCTAGTGTCAGGATCCTCCTCGATTCCTGGCATGCCCCTACTTGGGTGTTCGGCCGAGTTTGCAAGTTGTTAGTAACCACAGTTGTAAAAGTCCTTGCTGTTGGGTCATAACCCAGGTGGCCGTTTCAAATTGACTTGCCTGGCCGAACATGCAAGTGAAAACCCCAAAATCCCAAACCCCCAAAACCCTTACTTTGAGTAAACTAATAGCATAATATATATTTTTCTGTGTTACCTTCCGGCTCCCCTACATTCCCCTTGGTTTCCCTCTACACACCGACGAAAAGGGCCGGGGCAATTTGGTCCCCAAACAACTCGCTTTGCTTCACGGGTGAAAAACTGGAAGTTCTCTTGCCCGAGCAAAAGGTCGTGATCGATAGCTTTGAAGCTTGATGGAAAAGCCACTTGGGTATCCCTCTTCTTTTGTCGGAGGGTATCCCTTTGTAGGCTTTAAAGAAAACCAAAAGGAAAACAACCGTTTTGATGAGGTCTTCAAGAAAACACCCATGTGTTCTCCAAAAGGTCCAAAAAAACGGAAGTCGCCCTGCTTCGGTCCAAACCACCGAGCATTGTCTGCGGCCGAGCCGCATGGGGAGGATGTGCCACTGCACGGCGTCCCAGAGCCGGCACACCAACTTGCTCCACGCGGAGCCGGAGCCCTGCGAGAGCAAGAGTGCCGCCCGGGGCCCGGGACCCGGCCGGAGGGGCCCCTCCATGGTCCCCCAAAAGCCGGTCGTGAGAGGCGGTTTCTCATTGCCCACCAAGGCTGAACAAGGCGAAATACCCCAAAAAAGGAGCGCATTCCAAGACTCCATATTCAAAGCGCATTCTGGAACTCCATATCTGTAGAAGGCAAACAAAAAACATCTTTGGGGAAGGGTGCCCCCTCTTTTCGCGGGGCCACGCGGCTCGCACTCCGCTCGCTCGCTCGCTCCGCATCCGTGTCCGCCTCGTCCAGCAGCACCAGGCGGTGCCGGCCCCGGCTCTGCACCTGCGCCGCCAGGTTGGCGGCGTGCTGGGGCCGGTGCTGCGAGGCCTCGATCGATCGGTTTGCCGCGTCCAGCGGGGCGATCCGGGCAGGGTACCTCAGGTAAGTGATCATGCTGGTTCTAACCCACCTGGGATACCTTGATAACCATGGTTTCTTTTCCGCGTCGAGCGGCCGCTGCAAGAACCGGAAACACCCAAAAAACACCAAGCCAAACCACCTCGTCATGGGTTCTGATGATAGCCTGTAGGGGGAAAGGAGGAGGCATCTTGTGCTATCCCCACAAAATGCGATCGGGTCCTCCAACTCCATTCATCCAGTGTTCCCCAAGTTCGATGGAGATGGTACGAAGCTTATGGCAACTATTCCCATGGTTTCAAGTGGGCCAAGGTTGGTCGACATGTATGGTGAAAGCGCCTTGTCGAGGCAGGGTACGTCAGGTGAGCGGTTATGCCTAGTAACCCACTTCGGATACGTTAACCGTGGTGAGTGGGGATATGACCATGTTAAGTGAACATTATTGTTGGAGGGAGGATATCCCCAACGAGTTCTCACCTTTTGGCACCTTTTGGGGTTTCCAAAGACCAGGGGACAGTTGTTTTTAGAACCAAACAACAAAACGGAGAATAAGCTCAGGTGCTATCCCCAACAGCGGAACCGAATCTCCGGAACCGAATCTCCGGAACCCTCCTGGAAAGCTGCCCAAACTACGCCAGAGCCTATCTGGGCAGAGACCCTGTAGCTTTCAGCTCTTTGGAAAAACCACGCCCATCCACGAACATGGACCCTGACTGAGGGGTCCTGGAGCACCAGATTCCTTTAAAACTCTAGTAGGTTCCATTCTAGTGGATGTTATACCAACATGTGTGAGTGAAGGGCACCAAACCCCAGAATGGGTGTGGGACATAGCCCTTGTGATATCAAAATGGAAATTCATGCCCGTGACTACTTGATCACTTTCAAGGCACTTTTCTTGGTACCACGGAAACAAACACCATCTTCCACATGGGCGGCATGCAAGATGGATTGTGATGTGTTGCTGTTCTTGCTGGTTCGATGAGCAATGAGGGAAACCACTTCGAGTTTCCTTGAAGGGGAATCTGTCCTTTGGGGTTCTTTGGATGGGGCTCCGGAAGAAAAAGGTGCTGACCATTTGGTGTCAAACCAGTAGCTGTCCTTTCTCGTTCACTTTAAACTAACAAGAAAAGGCTGCCAAAGAAAAACTCAAAGAAAAACTCACACACAGCCGAGTGGAGTGCCTCTGGCACGCACGTCACCCAAGCTCTCGAGCCGCGACAAAGGGCTTGGAGGTCAAATTGACCATGTACAATGTGTGTCTTGAGGGTACGCTATTTGGGCGTCGTTTGAAGGGAAACGAAAGGGAAACCACTTATGGGGGATCCCCATATTTTGAGACACACATGCAGAAAATTACCAGGCATGCGAGATAGATTCGTCCATCTGAGTGCTTTCCTCCGGGCTCCTGGCTAAATCTTCCTCTCACCGTTGGCCTGTGCTATGTTTGCAATAAGAAATACACTAATAAGCTGAGAATATAACGCCAAGATAGTAGAAAACATACGGCTACAGCGTTCAATAGGGACCGCCATCAACATAAAACCGCAGTTGGAGAAAGAAACAAAAAGTCCCCAATAAACACTCCCCAACTAGAGGATTTTCAGCTGAGACTTGCCAGACTTACACCCCCTGCAAGCCGTCCACTTTTTGGACTTGCTGGTCAAAAGAGAATGAATACCAAGAGGGCAATGACTTGCTGGTGCTCAGGGAAGGACCGTTCCGGGTGTTGGGAATCAACCGGCTTATCGGGGATTCCTTTAAAGAAACCAAAAGCAAATCGGGGATGGTTTTCTGGGGGTCACTCCATTTGTCACGACCCTGCCTATCGAACCAGCAAGAGGTGAGGCCGATCAGAGCAGCCCCCCGCCTGGTAGAGCGCCATCGTGCCTGCCGCGGTTTGGTTCGCCAAAGATCCAGGAAGCCGACGGCACCAAGAAATCCAACCCGCACACCACCCACTCTCAGGACCCTTTGTGGCGTTTTTGTTTGCCCGAGCAATCGCCGCGTTTTCGGGTTGTTTCGCCAAAAAAGGCCCCATTCACCCGGAAACAAACGACCCACTGGCCGCCAAAGGCTTCAGAAGAACCCCGGTGAGATGAGAGATGACCCAGGAAATGACAACGAGTGGCTTATGCACCACCAATCTACGAGTACAAGGCGGTGCCCTAGTACAAGTGATACACACTGCAGATTCACCTGGAACCCCAAAGCCCCTCGCGTTTCTCGAGAAAACTCCTTTCGGGGGATCCTCTGCTTTTTGAGGCTCTCTTCTGGGAACCTGAGCTCGCTGCGAGTGGAGGCTCTGTCCACCGAGCCACCCCCCCGCTCCATAAGGCGGACGCTCGGAGTCATGTGAGCCACGTGTGTGAGAAGGAGACCCTCCCTCCGATGGACTTGGACAAGGGGCTTCCCAGAAGGACAGTCGTCTTCCATGCTGTCAGCTTCCATGTTGGCAAGGAGGATATGTTGCTGTTGCCAGCTTTTTGGGGGGAGGAATCTGCAACTTGGATGTGCAACCAGCTTAGTGAGTAGGGCATAACCGCGGGTATAACCAGGGCAACCACCATGGTTATATGCTACTTACCTGGCGTTGGTGGAACACCCAAGAATCCATATATATATATATACATATATATATATATATATATATATATATGTAGATATAGCTATATATATATATGTACATAATTCATCCATATTGTTTTGATGGATTGAATCCCACTGTTATCACAAATCTCAAGACGCCAAGCCTCCATGCAACCTTTTACTTCTGTCTGAGTTTTTTTGGTATCACACCATGGGATTACACCCACTGCGACATGATTTATTGCGACAAAACCGTGGCTATGTTGAATCATCTTGGGTCATGTTTTTTGAGCCATTTTGAGCATTTTGAACCATTTTGAGCCATTTTGAACCGCTTTCGTTTGGGGCATTTTCCTCTGTGATCCCCGTCCCCCGGTACCCCCCCCCCGCTCACACCCCACTCGCCTGCCAGCGCCACCGCGCCCGCCGCCCCGCCAGCAATCACCACCGGGGACGCTTCCGCGGCCGTGGCGGCGGCGGCCGCCGCCAGTGTGCGGACGCCTACGAAGTGCCATTCAGGCGGGTTGATAGAATGTATATATATATATATATATGTATATATATATATGTATACTCAAAATATATATATATATATGTTTATTTAGCTAGTCGGTTGATTTATGTATATATATGTATGTATCTACTTAGTCGGTTATTATATATATATAGTTAGTCTGTTATTATATATATATATGTATGTTAATATATATATAGAGATATATACATACTAGTTGTATCTATATATATATATACATATATATGCACTTCTATATATGGTTTATAAAACATAGCCTCCCTCCAACAATCATGGAAGCTGACGATCGGAGGGTTTTGGAAGAATGGGTGTGTTTTTTAGGGGACCCTGCCAAATTGTGGTTTTCAGACCCTCCCAAATTGTGGTTTTCGGTGTTCCGTTTGTTTTCCCTTTAACAGCTAGAAAAAAAGGGCACCCTAAGGGAAAAAAAAAGACCCAAGATAGATAGATAAATAGATATATATATATATATGCGTATTATGATGCAGGTGTATCATCTTCAACAAGAACGATTTGGAGCATATCTATGCAGGGCGGTTCCTTGTTTTGAGGCTCACCCTTTTCATGGCTTTTAAGGGGAAACCAAGAATCTTCGGGGGGTCGCCTACTTTGAGCCTCCTCATGGAGCGCCTTCATTCTACAAGGGGAAGAATGAAGGGCAGATTTCTGTCGGGACAGCTGGGTCGCGGACATCCGTACTCGAATTCCGTACCATTTCAGACATAGGTGTCCTTTTTAGGTTTGGAAATAGATGGGCTCGACTGGCTGAGATGGGTTTTATGCCCATTTACCAGGACCATCTATTTTACCAAACGACACCTGTGCTGGAAATATGTCTTAGAAAAGTTGACCCTCATTCCCAACAATTGAGCTATACGCAGGCTCTAGTCTTTCTTTGCAGCCACAGCCAACGACAAGAAGTCTGCGCCGCTTGAGTCTCGACCGCCCGCCGGAACGCCGGCGCCTGAGATGCCAGCAGAGGCCATGACGCGAATAGCGTCAAAGGCCAAGGTCGTGCCCCAAACGGTCAGGATGGGATTGGGAAAGCTCCTGCTGCGAGCAAGTCCACGCTGAGTGGCAGCAGGTGGGGTGAACTCTCTGGTGGATTTGTTTTGAGGCTCGGTAAACAACTTGTTGGGGTTGGTAAGGGAAACCAAAAGGAAACCAAACAACATTGAGACAAGCCCGTATTTGCAGTCCGGCAAGTGCCAAGAAATGACACATCCTCAAATTTGCATGACTTTTGTGTGGTACGCTTTGGTGGAGAAATAAGCATGGTTTGATTGATGTCCGCCAACCATCTTCTGTGGGCTCTCCTCATCAATTTTCACAACAACCACAAACTGTGGCCGTAAAACCACCCAAAAGTTGTTGGGCCCGCGGATCATTCAATGTCAAGATGGAAAGAAACCAGAAACCTGAGGGCCGTGAGACAACATAGCTGCTGACCAACCTTGAGACTGGCTTGAAGAATATAAAACAGAGGATCATTCCGCCCAGAGGTAAAAATGCTGAGTTGACAAGTCTGATGGGAAGTAAGCGCCGAGAAAATCAACCGCTGTCCGAAGAGATGAGTCTCCCCCCATCTCCCCCCCCCCCCCGCTCTATCGAACCAAAGGGTTCTTTCGATCCGATCTCCTCCGCTGCCAGAAGTGTTCCCCATCGCCATTGTCCTCCGGGGCGATTCTTTGCAACGCTCTCCTCTTGCGTCGCTTTGTCTGGAAGCCAGGGTGTGGTTGTTTGGAGCCCTTCCGTTTACGGGGACCCGGGGTATCGGACCCTGGATATGTCTGCAAATGCTGCTGCAATTCCGAAGTAATGGAACTTCAAGTTGCTTTCGCTCGCTTTTCCCCCAACTCGGCAAGAAACAAGTATGCGGAGGCTTGGCTTGTTCCAACAAATGGCTGCTTTTCTAAAATGAGTCTGTCCTCTTGGTTTCCCATCCAAAAAAGCATTCCTTTGAGACACGCCCAAAATGGGGCTGTCTTTTTTTGAGGGTTCCTGTTTTGAGCCTGCTTTAAGAGGAAACCAAAAGGAAGGCCATCATTCTGGGGGTCCCCTTTTTCACAAAAAGACCCCCCCACCCCCAATTTTTGCCCCCGCCATCCCATCCCTTCGTCCTCCTCGGGATGCCACCGGGTGCGACAAAAGGGGCACCGCGCCAGGCCTCAAAGCGCGACTGGATTCGGCCGGATCGGCCGCTTTCTCGGCCAAGAAAAAGAAAAGAACCCGAAAGGGGTATACCCAAAAAAAAAAAGCGTCTGTGTTGAATTCACCCGGCTAGGGATTCGAAGGGGTCATTTGGAGGAAAAGATCCGCCTTTCGTTCAAGCGGTTGCTTTCAGGTCTTGGCCAGGTTAGTGGTTAGCGTGGTTAGCCACCTCAAAACCCGTATGACCCAGGAAGAACAAGTTGATTCTGAACGGGGCACTTGGAAGCAGATGGCTTACTGAAGGGGCCGAACACCGGGAGGGAAGAATGAGTTGCGCTCCCGAGCGAAGCATCACTGCCTTAGGACCCCCTTCCGGTTCAGCTCCCCGCAGCCGGGTGCATCCATTCCCAAATCTCACGACAAAAAGCGGTGCCAAACCCATGAAGCTCCCATGGCAACACGAGTTCTCGACTTAGATCCTCTGTTGCCGAAAAGCAAAGGACCGGGGCTTCTCGCCCGCCCCGCTGGAGGAACTCGAAGGGAACTATGTGACCCATTTGAGTCGCTCGCTTGCTCAAAACCTGGTACAAAAATGGTCGTACTCCCAGACCCATGCTTCAAGAATTTTAAGAAGGCGGCATTCCGCAACAAATTTCTGGCAAGGGGATCGTCCCTTGACCGGATCATCTACCCGGGTTTTGATTGTGGCTCATGTTGCTTTCCTTGGGGTTCCCCTTCAAACCAACCAAAGAAAGGATTCCCTCCAGAAAACGAACCACACCCAAATAAATATCTAGGGGTTTTGAGCACGTGGCGCATTTCAGCTCCGACCGAAACCCCAGGCTCTGAACCCGACCGAAACCCCCAGCGAAACCGAAGTGCCCTTTGAGTCACCGGCGAAATCCCACCCGGGGTGTGAAGGACCCTAAAAGAAGCTGGGACCTCAAGGCCAGTGCTTGAGGTACCGATGTTGCGAAAAAAAAGAAAGGAAAAGAAACAAAAACATGTTTGACCTGCAAAACAGGTGGCAAAATGCGCAAGGATCCGAAAAGTTCACCAGGTTTAGCTTTTAGAACATGATTTAGTTCCTAGCAACCCGTTTATTTCTGTTGGTGGGTTTTTGAGTCTTGTGTCTTACTTTGAAGGTCCACTCTTTTGTATTTTTCTTTCAGGAGTTCCATGTTGGAAACGGTCCAAATCCCAAACAAACAAACCGACACACCCCACTCTCCCTCCAGCCCTCCAGCATTTGTTCCTTGCTGTTGTTCTCCTCGTCCCCCCACCCGTTCGTTTTCGGTTCAGATTTCTCTCCGCTTTTTTGTCCCAGGGGCAGACCTGGCAGTGGCAGCACAGGGACTGCTGGCAGCAGTCTAACTTCACCGCCCAATGACGGCCCACCGGAGGCGGGCGCTCGCCCTCGGGCTCCTCCTGGACTGGAGCCGGCGTCGAAACCAAAGGGCCTCTCGTTTTGAGGCAAGTAGCTTGATGTTCCAGGTTGTTGATTGTTTTAGGCCATCTCTTCTTAGAAACAGAAGGCAGCATTTTTTGTCAATTACCTGATTTTGATGGAATACCTGGTTGTTTTGGAAACCAAGAGGCACCAATGGGCGGATACTTGATGTTGAAGGGGAACCCCCCTTTCAAAGGAAGGAAACACGGCGCCGAAAATGGGTGTGGCCACAAAAGGATGGTTCCACAATTCGGAGACAAAGCTACAATACATGACACAAAGAGGGTGGATTTCCTGGTGCTTTGCTCATTTTTTTCCAAGTCTTTTCGGAGACACCAAAAAACGGGTGGGCCCTTTTTTGGAGTTGGCCGCCTTTTTGGGGCCCAAGAGAAAGAGGCAACCCAGCATTTTTGTTCGGACGGGAACGAGAATGTCCTCCAAACTCACGGTTGTGGCCTCCCGCCATTGATCAAGCCGGTTTGCTAAGCAAGTGTCCATCCGGAGATTCAGCATCCATCCGGTTTGGTTGGGAGCTCAGAGGTTGCACCCAATCGCACAGAGACCCGTTCAAATCAAAGTCACCAAGCTACCGCCAAAGCCCCCCAAGTTGGATCCTAGGCACCGGGATACAACCCTACGGCCCTACGAATACTGGTTGACTGGTTGATAGGTGCAGGATTACCCCGTTTTTCCGGGCGCCAATTTTTTGGGGCTGGCTCCTTCCCTAACTGAACGGGAGCACTTGGGCGTGGAGCATTCGGGTCACGCCCAAATGCAACCATTCGGCTCAAAAACTAGAATGCCCAAAATGCCAAAGACTACCTGCGGTTGGCCCGAGCTCTCAATGCCGGAGCCTTGGAGATAAACTCACCTCACCGTTCTCCTCGTAGGTCTCGAAGCAAACGGGGCAATCCGTCAACGGATCCATGGCCAATCCGTCCGTGCCGGAGTCAGGCGAGGCGGAGTGAAAATTGGGGCCCTAGGGAGCAGAGGTTGGGGTGGAGAGGTGAAGGTATTTTGGTGAACAAGATGTCTGGTTTTCGCTGAATAGAAGCCAAAGATGTTTCGCTTATAGATACCCCGGGGTTGGCACCGGGCCAAAAGAGCACTGGCCAGGTGACGGCGGGCTAAAAATGTCGGCGCCCACCTTGCTTGGCACAACCTGTTCGCCACACTTGATCTCGCTTTGAGATGAGCACCTCTCTCACTGAGCCAAGGCAGGCAAACCCGGTCTCTTCACCTAGGAAACAAACGGGTGTGTCTTGTTTTGGGAGTACCCCTATTTGGGGTTTAGAGGGACTCCAACATGAAAAAGATCTTTTTGGGGCGTTCCCCAACAAAAGACACACCCCAGATCGTGCCGGCTGATTCAAATCACAGAATATCGTATCGCCATTTGGCCTGAGATGCGGGATGTTCCTCTGACACTCAACTTGAGGGTTTCTAAAAATCGTGGACCCTGGGCTGAAGGGAACTCAACATCGAAGACACAAACCATCTCTCGCCTGGGCTACCTTCCGCCATGGCTTCGCTTCGCTTCTGAAAGGACCGGTCTCGTTTGGATGTCTCAAATAACCGCAGGGCCTTTTTAAGAACGGCGCTTGCCAGAAATCACTTCAAACATCTAGGAGTCTGATCACCAAGCCCAAACTGAACAGTCTTTGGTATGTGCTTGCTCTATAGTGTCATGTTCCTCGCTTCCCCACCATGCCGCACAGCGGTTGGTGAATTTCGACCCTTCGAGCCAGTGCCAAACCAAGGGGAACTGCAAGTCGCGATTTTAAGGAAACAACACCTTCCGCTCTGTGGCAGTTTCACTGGAAGCTACCAACATCAGGTCTCCTTTTGTATTTTGTTGACTGGTACAAGTGGCTGGTTCTGGTTTGGGGTCAATGATGGCAACCCAAGCTGTCTGGAGCTCATTTCGAGCATTTGGAAGTCACAGATTTGTCCGCCAAACCGACTTTCCAGTTTCTGGATGGGTCGCGGTTCCCCCTTTCTTCCACACCTTTCTGAAACTCTGGCACAGAACTCCTTTGGCTTGCAAAAAAGAAAAAATAGGTACAAGGCCAAGCAATCCAATCCAATCACACACACACACACACACACACACAAAGTGGGGGTGCATGCCACGCATGGCACGTTTGCTTTGCACCCGATAGGTACCTCCTTCTGGCGTCGCGCCCTTCCGGGAAATTGAGAAACCGGGGGCTGGCTTCGGCTTCAAGAAGTGCCAGGACTTCACCGGGCTCCGCAAACTTACCTCGGAGCCCTACATGGACCAGAGAAATGGCGTCCCTTTTGCAGGAAGATCGTCTTCCGACCTAAAGCTCAGTCAGATTCCATGAGGAGGGGCCATGCCCCCTCCATTTACTCCCTAAGCGCAAATGACGTCAGGTTCCATGTTCGATCTGAGGGCGGTGCTGGGCCCACTTCCTCGGGAAGCTTGGGTTGGAGTAGGTCCTCCCCGAGTCAAGCTCCCGTTTTGGTTGCCCTTCAAACATCCATCTACACACCAGGTCCACAATCAAAACATCTCTCCCTCTCCTTGTCCCCCGAAATAACACTCTAATTCGTGGCCATAGTTCATGACTTGCTTAGAGGAAACCAAGGAAGCTTGTGGGAGGGTTAGGGAAACGGAGGTGGGATTCTATCTGGAATTGTCCAAGGCCCCCAGCCAAATCAGCCCTTCCAACTAACAACCGTCTTACATACTGCACCACTTGCCCTTCCTGCCACGAACCGGAACGTTGGGAACCAACCCTGTGTGTGTGGGGAACCCGTCTGTTTCCTGTTGAAACCAACCAAAAGAGGGTACCCTCAAACGACAGTCACACCGAGCCCGGCGCTGCCACCTGGCGACCGCCCCGCCTCAGCTCGATAGCACATTCGGATTCGAATCAGTGCACAACGCGTCCCGGAACCCTCGGGGCGGTGCTGCTTTCTGAACGATTTTCCTTTAGAAGCGACCTTGCGTTAGGAGGGTAATCTTTGGTGCCAACAGGGGGACCACCCTACAAGTGAGTTCCATCTCGGAGAGAAAACCCCTGGAAAAGCCAAGCATTTAATCAAAAAAACAAAAAGGTTGTCCCTAAAAAAGGGACACACCTATTTTGGTTTGTAAAAGCCCTCACAAGGCCTGCGCGCCTGAGCAATCTACCCCCCAGCCAGAATCTGTTTGGATCTCCGAGCCGCCAGAAAAAAAGAAAAAAGAAAAAAATCTATTCTGCGGCAAACGCGGAAGCGGGGCTTTGGCTTCGCTTGCCCAAACGCCCGGCCTCTTACTATTTGTATGAAACACTCCTGAAAAACAACTTAGAAATAACACCATTCATGAAGGGTTGTCAAATTCGCGGACTGACAAGCAAAACTTTGCACCAGTTTCTGGGTTGAGAGGAATCCGAAACCCCACTTTGAGAGAATGGGGGGGGGGGCATTCAGGGGTCTGGGAAGGTCTTATAATTCAAACGTTTTCTTTCGGGTGAGAACTTGTTGCAGCAGTATAGAATAAGCACTTGGAAAAACACTGAGAAGGGATTTGGTGCCCTTTAACCCATCAGGCGAAATGGGGAAAACAAAGCCGAAAAAGACCTCCCTGGCGCAAAAAGGAAACGGCCAAGCGGCTCGGGAGGGCGATGTGACTGCCTGGAGACAACGCAATCAGCTGTTCACGGTGCCAGGGGGGCCCCAATCCTTGGGCATCGCTTCAAGCTTTGTCTTGGTATGGTCCATGTGCGTGACTTGATATTATATCAACATTGTCTACCCAGGATTATGTAAAGAAGTACCAAGCGGCCGCGCCCATTTCCCTTACCCTGATTAGGACTCATTGGCCAAACACGAGCCCCCGGTCCTGCGTTGAGCGGCAGACCTCCAAGGAGCAACATGACCTGGGCAAATCATCCCACTGAATGAGGGCACCTTTCAGCCACCTTTCTTTGGTTCATTTCAAATGGGAACCAACCGGAATCCATCCATTTCGGGGTCACTCAAGTCCCTACAAATCCGGCGTCCGTTTTTGGTCTCACACACAAGGGTCAAATAGACATCCCATTTGTCCCCGATAATTGAAACCCGGCTACCTTTGTCGCACGCAAAAGGGGATCAAATGGACAAGAAGTAAGGTTTCAAAATAGGGCTTGCCCCCTGAATGGCTTAGGGAAAAAGGCGACCAACCTTGACAAAAATATATATTTCCAAGGGCTTCAAAAGGAACTGGGGGGTTCAGATCCCAAGCTGCTCCCGAACCGCTGCTCCCCTGTGTTAACTTGGAGGGTCCCATCGCGCTTTCCACCTGCGGCATTGAGCAAAGGCGCGCCCACATCAAAGCCGAAGAGTCATGGCTTGATCATATCGCATCAAGACCCACATGGGTGTGTTGTGGAGTTGGCACCTTCAGGCTGTTTTGAGGAAAAACAAAAGCAAAGCAAAACCAAGATCCAGTTTTGGGGGTCGCCCTATTTTCGACACACCCAAATGTGCCTGCTGCTGGTCAGTAACTGCTGATCCACGCTGCACGAGCTCGCGTGGTTGTTCTGACAGCTGTTACCTGGTCTGTGTCTCTTGTTGGGCCTGCCTCAAATTTCGCGGCTCGCTTTTTGGATGGTTTCAAAAGAGAAAACAAAGGTCATCCATCTTAAGAGGTCTCTATCTTTCAGCAACACCCGGTTTTCAGTTGCCTGGCTTTTCAACCACTGAGACAAGTGCAGGGTTCATGCACCCACAAATTGCTGGAGCCGGCATGAACGCATTGTGATCAAAACATGCACACTCAAGCCACATGCAGACGCAATGTTCATTGATCCGGTATGTCAAGTGTTGAAAGAGGCCCACAGCGCGGGACAATCTTGCAACCGTTCTCTGCGCAATGAGCAATCCGCAAGCACTGGCCATTTCTTGCCTTGCAGTTGTCAAAGCTCGCAGCTTAATATTTCATGCAGGAACAAATCACCAAAGTATTTGCTGGCAACAATAACTGATCACAGGTGTCTAGTGCAGAGATACAACATCTGGCAGAATGGTACTCGCTAGTACGGTACCCAAGAGCACAGTGTGTGGCCATGACTCATGGCGTGTGTCAACCAATTCGCAGGCTGACATGGCAAAGGCCACTGCTTGCAACAAAGAACTCTAGGCTAAACACATGAAAAAAACCCGATCATGTATCATCCCTCCAAATTTACACGCTGGGACTGTCCGGTACCCTGCATCCACACAAGTTTTGGCTCAAATTGTTTGCGGCCATGCCACGTCAAAGCCTTCCCCAAAGCTGCAGGCAGCTCACTGGAACCCGCAACCGCCATGGTGTTGCTAAGCGTCCGAGCCACCTCCATGGAAACATTGGAAACACTGGGCCCCACTCTAAAGTGAGGCATGCCCTTTTCCCGTCAGGCTTTGAAGGCAATCAACCTCCACTGGTAGTTTTGAGAACCCTTCAAAGAGCACTTGGTGGCTATGTAATAAAAGCCCAATTTGGTTTGTATTAAAAGCCTAACCCAATGGAGAAAAACGCGCTCTGGATCCATGGATCCAAAGAGCATCAGTGCTGGGCTCATTCGATTGGCACTGACTCGGCACTCGGCACTCGGCACCGCATCCGATCCGTGAGCTCGCTCCCGGCCTGGGAAGAGCTCGCCCAGAAATCGAAGGATCTCCTCGCTCTTTGCCTTCTCCCCCTCCTGGCGCTTGATCAAAAGGTCCCAACAAAAACATAGGACCATAGCAAACCACTGGAAAGATTTGAAACCATTCATTTGGAAAAGTTACCCTTGTTCATTTGGGGGCCAGGAATATGGATCAACCCCCATGCGTCGGTCAAAAATCAAGAAAACAAGCACGGAGCAACTCTAGGACGCGAGCGAGGTAGTTGATTTTCAAGATGGTTGGCCCAAACCTTAGCTGAAGTCTAGAGAATCGATGCTCACTGCGCAGAGACCCTCAGGCATCGCAAGCAGACCTAACCATGTCATTTTGACCATGTCGCGGTTGGCCCTTTCATCTAGCGGCACAAGTTGCGATTCACCCCCCATTTCGCGAACTTCTGGGCCAAGCGCTGTTCCGACTGCTCCGAGGTGACTGAGAGATGCCTCAAGCGTTGCACGAGCACCAGTCATTCGCCCAATCAAGGCTCCGTCGCTTCCAGCTCGCAAGACATGTTACACTATGATGGCGGTGGGAGGTCAAAACAGGGCCGTTTTGGCATCCCCGTAAAAGGCGACGCCTTGGGTGGCACCGAAGTTCCAAAAAGAAAGGAACCAACCTCTTGGTGTCTGACAAAGGGAAGCCCCCGGAGACGGCAGCACTTGCGTTCTCAACCTCGAGGCGAGCTGAACCACTGCGCCCGTCTCTCTAGCTCTTAGCACCGGGCCCGGCCGAGAGGGACCTCGACCACCTGTGTCTCGGAGCGTCCCTGAGTTGGCAAACACAGATTCTTTGGTATGGCTCCTTTTGTTGCACCTCTTTGGGGTGGCTTTGAAAGAAAACTAAAGGAAACACCGCCATTTTTCGGGGGGGGGGGTCCCGTATTGGAAGACACCCCATTTTAGCCCATTTGCTGGCACGTGTTGTCAAAAAACACGGACACCTGCTTGGAGCGATCGTTCTGTCAGGTCCCTCATGCTCACACACCAACATGTCTTGTCCTGCAAGCCTTTGAGGTTACATGCGCTCTCACGTTCACAGTTCATCTGCGGCCGCCTTCGTGGCTTCGTTGGTGCCTTGGGCGACGAAGAATCGCTCGAGCACTCAGCTCCTGCCACGCGCCCTCGGGTCCACACGCGGTCCGGGGAACTCCAGCATGAGGCAGTCGGGCGTGAAGGTGACCGTGCCCTGGCCCTGCAAGCCTCAGCCAAGCCGAGCGCCCAAAGACGCAAAGGGCGCAGAGCCGAGCGCCCCGCTGCCCCAAGTGAACTTGCAGCACAAGCCCTCCACCTCGCGTTAGGCAAGAAGACTCTTGGCCAAACGACACAGCAACCCGCTTCGCCAAGCAAAGCATTGCCCTGGAAGCCTGCCTTGGCCACTTGCTTGAAGGTCTTCAGCACCCGATGGTGATCGCATTTGTCACTCAGCCCCACTTTTTGACGCCCACCGGAGGCCGACACCTCGAATCTCGACAAAGCCTGGCAAATCAAAACCAAGCCAACGACCTCGGGGTCAATGGAGCCGATGTCCGCAAACATCTTACCCTCCATGCCCAAAAAGAGAATGCGGGCAGCGGTGACCGCTTTGCTCGTCTCAACCTCGACACCCAAATTCCGTAGCGATTCGAGGATCTTGACGTCTTGATTTGGATCCGCACAGCTTGGGAAGTTCCCCAAAAAGCGCATGAACTTCTTCACCTGCGCATCGCTGCTGGCGAAGCATTGGCCAAAGTCGAGCAAAGCCACCGCTCCACGTTCCCATGCCTTGGTTCGCGTTGCTCATACGAAAACATTGCTACAAAAAAATGCAAGATTTCAAAACAATGGTGGTCTTCCTTTTGGTTCCAGTTGAACCAAGCTGAAAATGGAACCACACGCCCGTGTCAAAAGCGCAGATTCAGCCTAGAAGCCATGAAGTTTCCCGGGTGAGCATCTGCATGGACCAAGGTTTCTCCAGCCAGCATGGCTCCCCAAGCCGAGTACAGGAGCACACGTTGATCCTGGCCGAAGACATCCACCACCTTGCCCTCTGCCCATTTTTGCTCAGCTTCGTAGCCGGTAATGCCATCCAGCTTCTCCATGAGAAGCACTTGCTCCGTGCTTTCATAGACCTGCCCCACAAAATACGGCAATGGGCCTGCGAAAGAAAACACACACATGACCAAACCATGAAACCCTGCGCGAAAACATTGCGTAAGTTAAGCGATACGCAGCCCATCACGGCACTCAACCCCAGCCTCCGGCACAACAATGCTCGAACCCGCGAAGTGCTGCCGTACAAAGCCTTGGTTCTTCGCCTCCTTCCTCATGTCTGTCTCCCCTGACAGCACAGTCTCCAACTTCTCGGCCAACCCAGACAACAATGGATATATGCCTCTTGCCAGCTCCTCCTTGTTCACTTCTTTGGCAATGTGCACCATTATGTCAAGGTCGTCTTTGTAGGTCTGACACACCTTCTGGTGGAGCAGCTTGCACACCGCAGGCTTGCCATCAAGCCACGCTTCATGGACTGAAGCCATGCTTCCTGATTTCAACACCTCGCCGACCGACAGGTCACCCAATGACGAGTCCACGGACGACAGCGCCTGCTTGATGTCATCCGGATCACTGATAAAGCTTGCTTCTTCCAGCGCCTTACAGAAGTGGCGGCGATAGCCAGATGGGATGTCCGTCCTCAGAGACACGTACTGAAGCGCCTTAAAAGCTAATCCTCCGAACTTGGTTGCGGACTCGAAGAGCACGCGGGCTATGAGATCGTGCCGCTGCGAGTCGGACAAAGTGGCCTGGGGACACATCTGGGCAACGAGGGGCACCCACTCGCTCAGATAGTAAACGGGCTTTGTAAGGCAACCGTGCACGTAGATGTCGACGGCAAACTTCACAACGTCTTCTGCCATCTTCTTGCGCTCGGTTGCCACATAGTCCACACCACTCAGGCAGGGCACTTGAAGATCCATGGTGTCACACAATCAAAGAGATGTTCGGAGCTCTTGGACACTCAAAAAAAAGCTCGAGCCAAATGACCACCGACACAGCTTAGGATGTTGCGTCAGTGCCTCAACACCTCTGTCAGTCGTCTTCGCCGCAACTTAAGCTCCCTCACACGACGCTCTCGCAGACGATGATCCGCCTTTTCTTTCGTGCTATCCTTGGCCACGGTTCATTTCGACGCGGCCACATCAGAACTGGCATCTTTGGCCAGAACCACCTATCAATGTCATCTTCCGCCCAACACTAGACTCCTGTTTCTGCTGTCGTCCCGTGTTTGACAGCAAAAAGGCACACGCTAGCTGTAGTCTGCGAGTACACTTCCAGCCGAGATGTGTCACCTTTGGCCGCTTGCAAACAAATGCGCAAACGTGCAAAGCGCTCTGCATCCCTGCTTCAGGTGAAAGAAAAACGCGGAGTTTGTCTGCGGATCCTGCCCGCGCCTGCCCTCATTTTTGGAATTTCGCTAGAACTTTCATGTTTGCTCTTCGCTGAACAATTAATATGTGCATTGGCGAGGCCCTCGTCACTGCATTCTGCGGGCAGCAGAATAGAGCACTCAGTCTGGCAAATCCAAACTGTGGCATTTTGGAAAGTACGCATCTGCATCTGCGAACCCGAAAGCAGGCAGTGTAATGGGAGGCTAGGGAAGCAAATCCACCGGCTTTGGTGCCAGATCTCATTGGAGGTATTTCAGAGCTCACAATGATGTTCCTTTGCTCGGGGATTCCTTGTAAGGTACCTAAGAAATCTTAGATTACATTATCGGTTTTGGTTGATTCTAAGCATCAGCTTTTGATTCTGCAACCTAAAGCAGTTTAACTCAACCGATTGCAGCAAAATGCTGCGACATGTCAATTGCAAAGGATACACGCTGCGCTGTGATACTGCCAGCGTCGGCCCACTCGCAGCACGCGCTGTCCATAGAGCACAGCACGCCAGCCAAGCGCAGTCAACATGATTTCAACTGAGTGTCTCCGGCCGCTCACTAGTACACTGTGCCAGCTGTTCAAGTAGCCCAGCCCGAATGGCACAGCTCGAACACCGAGAGGCTGGCTCAATCCAAGAACGCAAATGCCGTCTAAACATCAGCTTCTGATTCTGTAACCCGAAGCTGCAAAAGAGCACAGGCCTCAACACTTGGTGGGAGTAAGGCTTCAGAACGTCGAAGAGCCCCTGCACATTGCTGGATTCTGCAAGTTGAGTCACCGAGAGCATGCCAAGGCCAGCTCGTGCTACTTACACTTTGCAGAATGAAGCCCTGCTGCACACAGCTGCAAGACTGGTAGCCGTGCAAACTTTCTGAAGCTCACAAATTGAAGCACACCAGCCAATTTCAATCTTGCATGATCTGCGTCAAACATAACTGACATTTGAGTGTCTCCAGTCACTCCTTCTCATGTCCCACTTGGGATGCAGCTGCATCGGGCCAGCTGTTCAAGTAGCCTAGACCGAATGGCACAGCTCAAACACCTAGAGGTTGGCTCACCCAAAATGTAAATGCCAAAATACCCACGCAAATGACCTGTCTCCTCGTGTCTTACTTGGAAACCGTTTTTTGCGCAAAACGGTAAGTCATCCAAAGTTTGGATGCCACAATTTCCACAGGTATGCGCCGTGAGTTTCACTGAAAACCCTCGATGCGATGCCCCTCAGAGCAACACGGCGCTCTGTCAATCGGCTGTCGTTGGTCCAGTCGCTGGCGGTTTGCTGACGCTTCACAGCCTCAGGCATTACACGCGTTCGAAAATCGAGCTTCATCTTTGGAAAGCCAGCCTATATGAGCAAGGCTTGGTTTGCGAGGCTCCAGAGAGGTTGAAATTTGTGACAATGAGCACAGAATCATGGCTTTGTTGAGTGATCTTGCGCGCAACCCGCGTGGAGACCGGGTTGCCGTCTTGCAAGAATACGGAGAAGACACATTGCAGGTGTGTTTTCTAAGGGTATCCTTGCAGTGGAAAAGGAAATCCCGTTTCCTCGCGCTGCCTTCTGGCTTGCACTGCTCGCACCACACAACTACGGACCATTTTGATGCAAGGGGGCGCTGTTGCCATTTGAGAAGCGGGCGCTACATAATCGTCCCCTTGTTCTTTAAGCCAGGCATACCAGGCGTCTTGCAACACAGTCCGAGATAGCGAGGCCCTGCATTGCAGCCTATTCAAAAAAGTTCTCAGCCAAGAGGGATAATCTTTGGTCGGAGCAACTGGCCTGCCAAGCGACCCATGAGTGACTCAATTCTGAACCAGGAAAGGGCTTCAAATCTGAACTCACAGCGTGGTTCCCTTGTGCCCCAAGCTGTCCCGCTTCTCCAATCGCAAGCTCTTCTGCTCGCACGCCTGCCTTCAAGGGTTGCCAGAGACATGATTGCATTTGCTGCGCAAAAGCCACACTCTGGCTAAGGCTTCACTTGCAAATCAGCGCCGGTAACGTTTGAAGACCAATAAAAACCATGATGTACTGCTACCAACAGTGTAACATGATGCCACTGGAGTGAGTGGGTCACGCTACGGCTTCTGTGAGATTTCCACGCTGATGCGCAGCGACAACTTCTTGCTAAGCTGCCAACAAATGGCTGTAGCCGCGATGGCTGCTTGTTCAAGATGTCATGCAGCCAGTGACTGCTACTTAGATGCAACTGTCATCGGGTTTCCAACCAAGCCAAGAATTACAAGTGCTTTGCGACGCAGCCGTGTCCGAGATAGTGAGGCCCTGCAGGTCAGCCTATTCACAGAACTCCTCAGCCAACAGGGAAAATCTTTGGAGCTGCCAAGCGTCGAGGACACCGGTTGAACCAACGGAGGGTTTCAAATCTAAAGTTGCTGCGATATTCCCTCGTGCCCCAAGTTGTCCGCTTCTGCAATCTCAAGTGCTTATCTGCAAAAGCCATTGCATTGCTAACACTTAACTTGCAAATCAGCTCTGGTAACGCGTGAAGGTCGATCAAGACCATCACTTGCAAACTCCAAGCTGATTCAACTATTTCCTGCGCACCTTCCAACTCTTAGCCGCTCGTATGCAAAACGTTGAGGACCAAATCCTGACAGGCAGCGGGATTTAAAGGTATGTTTTGTTGGCCCGAGACTTCAAGATGATAACTACAAACTCAGTGTGAAGGCTGCTCAGCGGAGCTCAACACTTGGGTAGCGCAAAAACAATAAGTCTCGACGCTAACTGCTTCAAAGCAGTCAGGGAACTCCTTGGAAGAAGCAGTGAGGGCTTGCAAGCGCAATGATTCAATGATTCAAGCATCAACACGCAAAAACGCATGCTTGCTACGCCACGCTGCTAAATATTGCTGAATCTTGATAGACCCTAGCAAGTGGTGCTGGGCTTGTTGGGGATAGAATGCTTCCACGTTTCAGGCACTGAGAGTGCTGAAAGCTTGCTCATGTCACGGCTGGTGACGTTTGAAGGTCAACGGCTCTGACAGGCAGGATTTAGAATGCATGTTTTCTTGTTTTTGCCCAGCAAGCCGATAACTACAGGCTCGGTGTGAAGGGCGCACCCCGTGTCGCATATTGACCGCGGGCCAGGGTTCCTTCCGCAGGCCTCCGCGGGCCAGGGTTCATCGTTCCGCGTGCCGCGCGCGGCGCAGGCTTGACAAGTTTTGCTTGAGAAAGAAACAATCCTTCCGCAAAGAAAACCTCTTCAAGAACCATCCAGCTTCCGCTGTTGCGCGGGGCAAGAGAAATGTCCCCGGGCTGCTCTATTTTAAACGCTGAACCTTCATAGGCCCTGACCCTGTGGTACAGAGACTTGCTGACAGATGCTACCACGTTGTGGGCAAAGGCCTTTTCACGCAGGTAGCCGATGGAAGCCTTTATTCCCGAACATCCGGCCTGAGTATGTTAATGAACCCAGTTTCCCATTACATACAGCCATGGATCCAGCACCCCAAACTTTCTGACAGTAAAGCCAAGAGCAAGTTCAGATGGTGTAAGAACGACACACTTGCCACAAACACGTCCACCACTGGCTGCCATCTGCAAGCAACTCGTCTGCACGTACGCCCTCTGCAATCAATGGTCTTCCAACATGGCGCTCGAGCAACGTCCGGCGATAAGAAAGTTGCAAACGCCCAACAAGTTGATAATCCGTCAAATGTCACGTTGGCACACAGGCCCTCTGGGGCGCACGCTCCACTAACAGCGTTGACACGTGCCCTGGAAGGACCGCAATGCCGCACGCAAGCTCAGAAGAGGCAGCCCCACAATCGATATCCAACAAAGCCTGCGCAGGCAATGCAAGGTAACATGTGGCGCGCACACGCTGGTGTGATTCTCCATTGGCTGGCCTGCCACCTTAGCACTCGACATCCTAAGAGCATGCAAGAACAGACTGAGAACCTGTCACGCACATAGGCGTGCGCGCAAATGCAGTATTGCCACGGCTGTTCAAGGAACTTCTACCAACAAATGTCAGCCTAACTCGGCAACCGTTGAACAAAAGCAGGCCACGCAGCTCCGCCTGTAAAGCTTCGTTGCTTGTGAACTGAATTTGCCACTGTGCTCAGGCGTAGGATGTCTTGCGTGGCCACATGAGAGCAGTAAAGTGAAGCTTGAAGCAAAGCTAGCGATAGCCATCGGCGACCACACATGCAGTGCGTGTTGCTCTGGCACATCTGTCCACACTACGCCTGCCATTTTGAACCCTTCCGGCAAAAGTATTTTTCCACCACGTGGGCGCTGACAAGCTCAGTTTGAAGACTGTTTGCTGCACAACAATTTGCTGAAAGTCAACAAGCCCCCCAACACGTGTTGTCTATCAAAGCCTGTCTATGTGCACTGCGAGCCTACCCTCAAACGACAGACACACCGAGCCCGGCGCTGCCACCGGGCGACCGCCCCGCCTCAGCTCGATAGCACATTCGGATTCAAATCAGTGCACAACATCGTCCGTCCCGGAACCCTCGGGGCGGTGCTGCTTTTTGAACGTTTTTCCTTTAGAAGCGACCTTGCGTTAGGAGGGTAATCTTTGGTGCCAACAGGGGGACCACCCCACAGGTAAGTTCCATCTCGGAGAGAAAACCCCTGGAAAAGCCAAGCATTGAAACCATCAGCTTGGTTTCCCAATAAAACCAACCCAAAAAGCAAAAAGGTTGTCCCTAAAAAAAGGACACACCCATGTTGGTTTGCAAAAACCCTCACAAGGTCTGCGCGCCTGAGCAATCTACCCCCCAGCCAGAATCTGTTTGGATCTCCGAGCCGCCAGAAAGAAAACATCTATTCTGCGGCGAAGGCGGAAGCGGGGCTTTGGCTTCGCTTGCCCAAACGCCCGGCCTCTTACTATTTGTATGAAACACTCCTGAAAAACAACTTAGAAATAACACCATTCATGAAGGGTTGTCAAATTCGCGGACTGACGAGCAAAACTGTGCATCAGTTTCTGGGTTGAGAGGAATCCGAAACCCCACTTTGAGAGAATGGGGGGGGGGGGCCATTCATGGGTCTGGGAAAATCTTACAACCCAAACGCTTTCTTCCGGGTGAGAACTTGTTGCAGCAGTATCGAATGAGCACTTGGAAAAAGCCTGAGAAGGGATTTGGTGCCCTTTAACCCATCAGGCGAAATGGGGAAAACAATGCCAAAAAAGACCTCCCCGCAAAACACAAACGGCCAAGCGGCTCGGGAGGGCGATGTGACTGCCTGGAGACAACGCAATCAGCTGTTCACGGTGCCCAACTCCCCCAAAACTGCTCCTACCACCCCCAAAACATAGCTCCAGCTTCAGCATAGGCAACAGCTGGGTTGCAGCTAAAACCTGAGATGGCTACCTGTTGTTTTCATTTGCTGCCACCAAAAGGGGGGCTTCAAAACAAGACCAAAAAGTGGTGAGTCAGGTTCCTCTGAGCCTCAAGTGGTTGCACCCTTCGCTAGAAAGAATCATACAGGTGTATCCGACAAAATTCGACACCCAACTGGGTACGTTCAGCGGCCAAACAAAACCAAGCTACTGAAACTTCGCCCTAGCCCATTGGGAGATCAGGACAAAAGCGGGCGAATACGGAACGAGGAACGATGCATGGCAGGCTGGTAGCGACCACTTGAACAGATTGGTGGTGTTCCATCCTTAAGGCATGATGGGTAAATGCAAGGCATTGGGTAAATCCGGGGTTGCCAAGATTCGGAACTCAAAAGAATTGTCTGGCTTCCTCTTGGTTACCCTCTCAACATCTCGTTCTGACCATCCTGTGTCTCTTAAATTAAATTTATGTTGCCTGGACTGTTCAAAACAAAGGCTTGAATCGCATCATTTGGCTGTGGCTCAAAATTGAGCAGCTGGGGTTGCCCACAGGCCTTCGTCTTTCCATTTACCAAGGCGCCATTTTGGGCTCCATGTTTTGAGCAGCCGTTTTTGTCCAACGAAGGCAGCCTGAAAAGGGGATCTTGTGTTGAAAGAGACCCAACAAACGTGGTTTGGCGCACAAACGTTTTTCGGAAGACAAGTAACCCTTGAAAAGGGTGCACTTCCATATTTGTAGGGGCATAATGGAATCCACAAAACCTCATGTCGGAGAAAGACCCCTTGCAAGGCTTCCATGTACTGCACGCCAATTGGTATTTCTGCGGTTCTTCTTTGAGGGTTTTGGATTTGCTGCTTAGGGACACCAACCGAATCCTCCCATGCGGGATCCAGTAGGTGTTTCCAAACAGAAGGGGGGCCCCAATCCTTGGGCATCGCTTCAAGCTTTGTCTTGGTATGGTCCATGTGCGTGACTTGATATTATATCAAAATTGTCTACCCAGGATTATGTAAAGAAGTACCAAGCGGCCGCGCCCATTTATGGCTGGGATTGTCCCTTACCCTGATTGTGACTCATTGGCCAAACACGAGCCCCCGGTCCTGCGTTGAGCGGCAGACCTTCAGGGAGCAACATGACCTGCGCAAAGGGCACCATTCAGCCACCTTTCTTTGGTTCATTTCAAATGGGAACCAACCGGAATCCGGGGTCACTCGAGTCCCTACAAACCCGGCGTCCGTTTTTGGTCTCACACAAGGGTCAAATGGACATCCCATTTGTCCCCGAAGATTGAACCCCAGCTACCTTTGTCGCACACAAAAGGGGATCAAATGGAAAAAGCTGCATATTGCACGCAAAAAGGGCAAAAAGGAGGTCTCAAAATAGGGCTTGCCCCCTGGATGGCTTAGGCTATTAGGGAAAAAGGCGACCAACCTGGACAAAAAAACATATTTCCAAGGGCTTCAAAAGGAACTCGGTTCAGATCCCAAGCTGCTCCCGAACCGCTGCTCTGCAGGCGAACGTGAGGAACCAAGAAAAAGTGTCCCAACCAAAGGGTTCTGTGTTAACTTGGAGGGTCCCATCGCGCACCTTCGGCATTGAGCAAAGGCGCGCCCACATCAAAGCCGAAGAGTCATGGCTTCATCATATCGCATGGTCAAGACCCACATGGGTGTGTGTGTGTGTGTGTTTGTGAAGTTGGCACCTAGGCTGTTTTAAGGAAAAACCAAAGGCAAAGCAAAACCGAGATCCATGTTTGGGGGTCGCCCTATTTTCGACACACCCAAATGTGCCTTCCGCTTGTCAGTAACTGCTGATCCACGCTGCGCGAGCTCGCGTGGTTGTTCTGACAGCTGTTACCTGGTCTGTGTCGCTAGTTGGGTCTTCCTCAGAATAGAGGCTCGCTTTTTGGATGGTTTCAAACAAAAAACAAAGGTCATCCATCTTAAGAGGTCGCTATCTTTCAGCAACACCTGGTTTTCGGTTGCCTGGCTTTTCAACCACTGAGACAAGTGCGGGGTTCGTGCACCCACAAATTGCTGGAGCCGGAATGAACGCATTGTGATCAAAACATGCACACTCAAGCCACATGCAGACGCAATGTTCATTGATCCGGTATGTCAAGAGCAGCAAACACGGTTCCCCATGTTCACGTATGTTGAAAGAGACCCACAGCGCGGGACAATCTTGCAACCGTTCTCTGCGCAATGAGCAATCCGCAAGCACTGGCCATTTCTTGCCTTGCAGTTGTCAAAGCTCGCAGCTTAATATTTCATGCAGAAACAAATCACCAAAGTATTTGCTGGCAACTATGCTGATCACAGGTGTCTAGTGCAGAGATACAACATCTGGCAGAATGGTACTCGCTAGTACGATACCCTTTAGCACAGTGTGTGGCCATGACTCATGGCGTGTGTCAACCAATTCGCAGGCTGACATGGCAAAGGCCACTGCTTGCAACAAAGAACTCTAGGCAAAACACATGAAAAAACCCGATCATGTATCATCCCTCCAAATTTACACGCTGGGACTGTCCGGTACCCTGCATCCACACAAGTTTTGGCTCAAATTGTTTGCGGCCATGCCACGTCAAAGCCTTCCCCAAAGCTGCAGGCAGCTCACTGGAACCCGCAACCGCCATGGTGTTGCTAAGCGTCCGAGCCACCTCCATGGAAACATTGGAAACACTGGGCCCCACTCTAAAGTGAGGCATGCCCTTTTCCCGTCAGGCTTTGAAGGCGATCAACCTCCACTGGTAGTTTTGAGAACCCTTCAAAGAGCACTTGGTGGCTATGTAATAAAAGCCCAATTTGGTTTGTATTAAAAGCCTAACCCAATGGAGAAAAACGCGCTCTGGGTCCATGGATCCAAAGAGCATCAGTGCTGGGCTCATTCGATTGGCACTGACTCGGCACTCGGCACTCGGCACCGCATCCGATGTCTGCGGCTCAGAGAGCTCGCTCCCGGCCTGGGAAGAGCTCGCCCAGAAATCGAAGGATCTCCTCGCTCTTTGCCTTCTCCCCCTCCTGGCGCTTGATCAAAAGGTCCCAACAAAAACCTAGAAAGATTTGAAACCATTCATTTGGAAAAGTTACCCTTGTTCATTTGGGGGCCAGGAATATGGATCAACCCCCATGTGTCGGTCAAAAATCAAGAAAACAAGCACGGAGCAACTCTAGGACGCGAGCGAGGTAGTTGATTTTCAAGATGGTTGGCCCAAACCTTAGCTGAAGTCTAGAGAATCGATGCTCACTGCGCAGAGACCCTCAGGCATCGCAAGCAGACCTAACCATGTCATTTTGACCATGTCGCGGTTGGCCCTTTCATCTAGCGGCACAAGTTGCGATTCACCCCCCATTTCGCGAACTTCTGGGCCAAGCGCTGTTCCGACTGCTCCGAGGTGACTGAGAGATGCCTCAAGCGTTGCACGAGCACCAGTCATTCGCCCCAATTGTTGCCCAATCAAGGCTCCGTCGCTTCCAGCTCGCAAGACATGTTACACTATGATGGCGGTGGGAGGTCAAAACAGGGCCGTTTTGGCATCCCCGTAAAAGGCGACGCCTTGGGTGGCACCGAAGTTCCAAAAAGAAAGGAACCAACCTCTTGGTGTCTGACAAAGGGAAGCCCCCGGAGACGGCAGCACTTGCGTTCTCAACCTCGAGGCGAGCTGAACCACTGCGCCCGTCTCTCTAGCTCTTAGCACCGGGCCCGGCCGAGAGGGACCTCGACCACCTGTGTCTCGGAGCGTCCCTGAGTTGGCAAACACAGATTCTTTGGTATGGCTCCTTTTGTTGCACCTCTTTGGGCTGGCTTTGAAAGAAAACTAAAGGAAACACCGCCATTTTTCCGGGGGGGGGTCCCGTATTGGAAGAGACCCCATTTTAGCCCATTTGCTGGCACGTGTTGTCAAAAAACACGTTGGAGCGATCGTGTCAGGTCCCTCATTCTCACACACCAACATGTCTTGTCCTAGCCTTTGAGGTTACATGCGCTCTCACGTTCACAGTTCATCTGCGGCCGCCTTCGTGGCTTCGTTGGTGCCTTGGGCGACGAAGAATCGCTCGAGCGCTCAGCTCCAGCCACACGCCCTCGGGTCCACACGCGGTCCGGGGAACTCCAGCATGAGGCAGTCGGGCGTGAAGGTGACCGTGCCCTGGCCCTGCAAGCCTCAGCCGAGCCGAGCGCCCAAAGACGCAAAGGGCGCAGAGCCGAGCGCCCCGCTGCCCCAAGTGAACTTGCAGCGCAAGCCCTCCACCTCGCGTTAGGCAAGAAGACTCTTGGCCAAACGACACAGCAACCCGCTTCGCCAAGCAAAGCATTGCCCTAAAAGCCTGCCTTGGCCACTTGCTTGAAGGTCTTCAGCACCCGATGGTGATCGCATTTGTCACTCAGCCCCACTTTTTGACGCCCACCGGAGGCCGACACCTCGAATCTCGACAAAGCCTGGCAAATCAAAACCAAGCCAACGACCTCGGGGTCAATGGAGCCGATGTCCGCAAACATCTTACCCTCCATGCCCAAAAAGAGAATGCGGGCAGCGGTGACCGCTTTGCTCGTCTCAACCTCGACACCCAAATTCCGTAGCGATTCAAGGATCTTGACGTCTTGATTTGGATCCGCACAGCTTGGGAAGTTCCCCAAAAAGCGCATGAACTTCTTCACCTGCGCATCGCTGCTGGCGAAGCATTGGCCAAAGTCGAGCAAAGCCACCGCTCCACGTTCCCATGCCTTGGTTCGCGTTGCTCATACGAAAACATTGCTACAAAAAATTGCAAGATTTCAAAACAATGGTGGTCTTCCTTTTGGTTCCAGTTGAACCAAGCTGAAAATGGAACCACACGCCCGTGTCAAAAGCGCAGATTCAGCCTAGAAGCCATGAAGTTTCCCGGGTGAGCATCTGCATGGACCAAGGTTTCTCCAGCCAGCATGGCTCCCCAAGCCGAGTACAGGAGCACACGTTGATCCTGGCCGAAGACATCCACCACCTTGCCCTCTGCCCATTTTTGCTCAGCTTCGTAGCCGGTAATGCCATCCAGCTTCTCCATGAGAAGCACTTGCTCCGTGCTTTCATAGACCTGCCCCACAAAATACGGCAATGGGCCTGCGAAAGAAAACACACACATGACCAAACCATGAAACCCTGCGCGAAAACATTGCGTAAGTTAAGCGATACGCAGCCCATCACGGCACTCAACCCCAGCCTCCGGCACAACAATGCTCGAACCCGCGAAGTGCTGCCGTACAAAGCCTTGGTTCTTCGCCTCCTTCCTCATGTCTGTCTCCCCTGACAGCACAGTCTCCAACTTCTCGGCCAACCCAGACAACAATGGATATATGCCTCTTGCCAGCTCCTCCTTGTTCACTTCTTTGGCAATGTGCACCATTATGTCAAGGTCGTCTTTGTAGGTCTGACACACCTTCTGGTGGAGCAGCTTGCACACCGCAGGCTTGCCATCAAGCCACGCTTCATGGACTGAAGCCATGCTTCCTGATTTCAACACCTCGCCGACCGACAGGTCACCCAATGACGAGTCCACGGACGACAGCGCCTGCTTGATGTCATCCGGATCACTGATAAAGCTTGCTTCTTCCAGCGCCTTACAGAAGTGGCGGCGATAGCCAGATGGGATGTCCGTCCTCAGAGACACGTACTGAAGCGCCTTAAAAGCTAATCCTCCGAACTTGGTTGCGGACTCGAAGAGCACGCGGGCTATGAGATCGTGCCGCTGCGAGTCGGACAAAGTGGCCTGGGGACACATCTCGGCAACGAAGGGTAGGAACTTGCTCACACTGCGAATGGGTTTTGTCTTGACACCGTGTACGTAGATGTTGACGGCAAACTTCACAACGTCTCCTGCCATCTTCTTGCGCTCGGTTGCCACGTAGTCCACGCCACTCAGGCAGGGCACTTGAAGATCCATGGTGTCACACGATCAAAGAGATGTTCGGAGCTCTTGGACACTCAAAAAAAAGCTCGAGCCAAATGACCACCGACACAGCTTAGGATGTTGCGTCAGTGCCTCAACACCTCTGTCAGTCGTCTTCGCCGCAACTTAAGCTCCCTCACACGACGCTCTCGCAGACGATGATCCGCCTTTTCTTTCGTGCTATCCTTGGCCACGGTTCATTTCGACGCGGCCACATCAGAACTGGCATCTTTGGCCGGAACCACCTATCAATGTCATCTTCCGCCCAAACTAGACTCCTGTTTCTGCTGTCGTCCCGTGTTTGACAGCAAAAAGGCACACGCTAGCTGTAGTCTGCGAGTACACTTCCAGCCGAGATGTGTCACCTTTGTTCGCTTGCAAACAAATGTGCAAACGTGCAAAGCGCTCTGCATCCCTGCTTCAGGTGAAAGAAAAACGTGGAGTTTTGTCTGCGGATCCTGCCCCTGCCTGCCATCTCTGGAGCCCTGCTATACCTTCATGTTTCCTCTTCGCTGCACAGTTGATATGTGCAACGGCGAGGCCCTCGTCACTGCATTCTGCGCGCAGCGCCAAAGCGCCAAAGCGCTCAGGCTGGCGAATCCAAACTGTGGCATTTTTGGAAGTACGCATCTGCATCTACAAGCCCGAAAGCCGGCAGTGCAATGGGAGGCTAGAGGAGCAAATCCACAGCATATGGTATGGTGCTTGTGATACTGCCAGCGCCCGTCCACTCTGACCATAGAGCCGAGCACGTCAGCTAAGCACAGTCTGGCATGCCTGTGTCCCGCTTGGCTGCATCTACAGTAGCCTGTTCGAAATCCATTGGGGCCAAATGACCATCCGCAATCCGCCTAATCCTTGTGCTGGTTGATAATCTTCTCAATCCGTAATCCGAGCTGCAAAGTGTGATTTGAAACCTTGTGCATTGAACACCCCTGCAACCCATAATCCGCAATCCAGAAAGCACACAGTCCGGTCTGTAAACTGCATAAGCTGCCATCCGCTAATCATTCGGCCTGCAGCTGCGTCGTGCCAGCTGTTCAAGTAGCTCAGACCGAATGGCACAGCTCAAACACCTAGAGGTTTGGCTCAACCCCAAACCGTACATGCCAACATTCCCATGCAAATGACCTGTCTACTCATGTCTTGGAAACCTTTTCTTGCACAAAACGGTAAGTCATCCAAAGTTTGGATGCCACACTTTCCACAGGCATTGAGTTTCACTAAAAACCCTCGATGCGACGCCCCTCAGAGTAACACGGCAGTCTGTCATCCGGCTGTCGTTGGTCCAATCGCTGGCGATTCACAGCCTCAAGCATTACACGCGTTCGGGAATCGAGCTTCATCTTTGGAAAGCCAGCCGATGAGCGAGGCTTGGTTTGCGAGGCTCCAGAGAGGTTTGCTGCAGTTGAGATTTGTGGAGCATTCAGCCAACGGTTAGCACAAGATCATGGCTTTGTTGCGTGCTCTTTCCCGCAACCCGCGTGGAGACCGGGTTGCCGTCTTGCAAGAATACGGAGAAGACACATTGCAGGTGTGCTTTCTGAGGGTATCCTTGGAGTGGAAAAGGAAACCCCGTTTCCTCACAACTACGGACCATTTTGATGCCAGGGGGCGCTGTTGCCATTTGAGAAGCGGGCGCTACGTAATCGTCCCCTTGTTCTTTAAGCCAGGCATGCCAGGCGTCTTGCAACACAGTCCGAGATAGTGAGGCCCTGCGTTTCGGCCTATCAAAACAAGTCCTCAGCCAAGAGGGATAATCTTTGGTCGGTGCAACTGGCCTGCCAAGCAACCCATGAGTGACTCAATTCTGAACCAGGAAAGGGTTTCAAATCTGAACTCACAGCGTGGTTCCCTTGTGCCCTAAGCTGTCCCGCTTCTGCAATCGCAAGCTCTTCTGCTCGCACGCCTGCCTTCAAGGGTTGCCAGAGACAAGCTTGCATTTGCTGCGCAAAAGCCACACTCTGGCTAAGGCTTCACTTGCAAATCAGCGCCGGTAACGTTTGAAGATCAATCAAAACCATCACGTACTGCTACCAACAGTGTAACAGGATGCCACTGGAGTGGGCCACGCTGTGGCTTCTGTGAGATTTCCACGCTGATGCACATCGACAACTGTTTGCTAAGCTGCCAACAAATGGCTGTAGCGCGATGGCTGCTTGTTCAAAATGTCATGCAGCCCTTGACTGCTACGTAGATGCAACTGTCATCGGGCTCCCAACCAAGCCAAGAATGACAAGCGCTTTGCAACACAGCCGTGCCCGAGATAGTGAGGCCCCGCATTTCAGCCTATTCGCAGAACTCCTCAGCCAAGAGGGACAATCTTTGGTCCGCGCAACTGGCCTGCCAAGCGTCTACGACCCATGAACCAGGAAAGGGTTTCAAATCTGACGTGGCAGCCTGGTTCCCTCGTCCCCTAAGCTGTCCCGCTTCTGCCATCGCAAGCTCTTCTGCACACGCCTGCTTTCAAGGGTTGCCACAGACAAGCTTGCAATTGCTGCGCAAAAGCCACACTCTGTCTAATGCTTCACTTGCCAAATCAGCGCCGGTAACGTTTGAAGATCAATCAAAACCATCACGTACTACTACCAACACTGTAACATCATGCCACTGGAGTGGGCCACGCTGTGGCTTCTGCGAGATTTCCACGCTGATGCACATCGACAACTGTTTGCTAAGCTGCCAACCACTGGCTGTAGCCGCGATGGCTGCTTGTTCAAAATGTCATGCAGCCCTTGACTGCTACGTAGATGCAACTGTCATCGGGTTCCCAACCAAGCCAAGAATGACAAGTGCTTTGCAACACAGCTGTGCCCGAGATAGTGAGGCCCCGCATTTCAGCCTATTCGCAGAACTCCTCAGCCAAGAGGGACAATCTTTGGTCCGCGCAACTGGCCTGCCAAGCGTCTACGACCCATGAGCGACTCAATTCTGAACCAGGAAAGGGTTTCAAATCTGACGTGGCAGCCTGGTTCCCTCGTGCCCTAAAAACCATCACGATTGAATATCACTGAGCTCTTAGCCGCTCGTGAGCAAAACGCTGAAGGTCAACGGCTCTGACAGGACACGGGATTTAGAAGGCATGTTTTCCTGGCCCAGCAATTCAAGCCGATAACTACAGGCTCGGTGTGAAGGGCGCAACACGTGAGCGGTGGTTTTTATTCCCTGGACCCCGGCGCATATCGACCGCGGGCCAGCAGGGTTCCTTCCGCAGGCGTTTGCTTTCACATCCTTCCGCACATGCTTTACAAGCTTTTCTTGAAGGAGTATTGGCGCAGAAAGGGAAGTAAGTTTAGTAGAAAGAAACAAAGCTTCCGCGAAACCGCAAGCTTCCGCTCGTGCTGCGCGGAGCAAGTTTTAAAGAACAATCTCCGTCTCCCCACTAGGTCGCGGGCAACAAAAACCGCATCAACATGCAAGCACGCACGCTTGCTACGCAGTGCAAGCCTTGCTGTGGCTGGGTGCACGCTGCTAAGTCTTGCTGAAGCTTGATAGAACTAAAACCTTGCTCACGTCACATGCGCTAGTGACGCTTGAAGGTCAACGCTCTGAGGAGGCGGCATCTAGAAGGCATGTGTTTCAAGCAAAGCGATGAGTCTCACCGCTGACTTGACTGCTTCAAAGTCAGGGAACTCCTCGGAAGAAGCAGTGAGGGCTTGCAAGCGTGATGACTCGATGATTCAAGCATCAACACGCAAGCACGCATGCTTGCCATGCAGTGCAAGCATTGCCGTGGCGGGGTGCGCGCTGCCAAGTGTTGCTGAATCTTGATGGACCCTAGCAACACAGTTTGCTGCAAACTGAGCTCAGCACTAGTATGCCACATCACTGAGTATGCTGCATTCCAGAAGCCAGTTGGCGCTGCAGTCAGAATGGGTCGGTTTTTGGTTCTACCCTGACTCACACATATACCCGCAATGGTTCAGGGAAGGCTGCAGCAGTGCCAAAGGGAAAGTGGTGCTGGGGCTTGCTGGGGATGGAATTATTTCAGGTTTCAGGCACTTAGAGTGCGGAAACCTTGCTCATGTGAGGCACGGTCGAAAATACTTACTTACAGCCGTTTCGCTACTTAGCTTGAGAGTCCCCTATCGTTTTCCAGCGCTTCCATCCTTTTCCACGGGTATCGTTTTTTTGAGAGTCCCCTATTGATTGCCATGGCTTTGCGCATTTTCACAATATCAATGAACACCAAACACTAAACTCAACAGAAGTATTTTGACGGTACTTCATGTCACACGCGCTGGTGACGTTTGAAGGTCAACGGCTCTGACAGGAGGCGGGATTTAGAAGGCATGTTTCCTGGCCCAGCAATTCAAGCCGATAACTACAGGCTCGGTGTGAAGGGCGCAACACGTGAGCGGTGGTTTTTATTCCCTGGACCCCGGCGCATATCGACCGCGGGCCAGCAGGGTTCCTTCCGCAGGCGTTTGCTTTCACATCCTTCCGCGCATGCTTTACAAGCTTTTCTTGAAGGAGTATTGGCGCAGAAAGGGAAGTAAGTTTAGTAGAAAGAAACAAAGCTTCCGCGAAACCGCAAGCTTCCGCTCGTGCTGCGCGGAGCAAGTCTTAAAGAACAATGTCTGTCTCCCCACTACTTTCAAGCAGCGGGCAACAAAAACGGCTGCTCACTTTAATGCAAAAGCAATAAGTCTCAGCGCCGCTGGCTTGACGCTAACTGCTTCAAAGCAGTCAGGGAACTCCTCGGAAGAAGCAGTGAGGGCTTGCAGCGTGATGACTTGATGATTCAAGCATCAACACACAAGCACGCATCTTGCCCTGCAGTGCAAGCATTGCTATGCGCTAGTGCCAACCTGACGGTGGGTTCAGACACTACGGGTCAACGCCCCAGTGAAAGGCACGGGCAACCGCCCTTGCGCAAGCTGTGAGGCAGGCACGCTCGCAAGGACAAGCCTGCGCGCGGGCACTCAAAGGCACAGTCCTATTAAGAGCAGTGAGACTACATTATATAAGGAGTGGCTCAAAGCACACGGGCG